CTATGCCAATCCGAAGCCAGGAGCCTCATCCGGGTCTCCCATGCGGGTGCAGGGGCCTAAAGCCCCGGACCACAGGCAGGGAACTGGAAGGGAAGCGGGGCTACTGGGATTAGAACCGGTGCCCATATTGGATCCTGGGGTGTCCAAGGTGAAGGCCTTAACCACTGCACCATCGCGCCGGGCCTGCATTATGTCCTCTTAACAACCTAGTCACCTCTTAAAGGCCTCGCTTCACCACACTGTCTCAAGGGCTGTGAGATTACAGTGTGAGTCCAGAAAGGGTACTCCGGGTTTGAGCCACGATGTCGTCTCACCATTTCTGTGGCCTGTGAATTTGGCCCTGGCTTAGCTGAATACTGCTTGAGATTTCACAAATCTCACTCCTCAAATTTCTGTAATGACTGGGGCCAGGCTAGGCCAAAGTGAAGGAGCTGGGACTCAATCCAGGTTTCCCATTTGGGTGGCAGGAACTCAAATACTTAAGCCACCACCTGCTGCCAACCAAAGTGTGCAGTAGCAGGAATCTGAAATCTAGAGCAGAGCCAGGATTTGAACTCAGGCACTGCAATAGGGATGTGGCCATCCCAAGTAACGTCTTAAACGCTATGCCAGCCCCCTGCCCCTACTCTTCTTGACAGCTGTTTGACTATTCATAAGCCTTACATACCTTAACACTATTTGCTGGGTTTTTAACATCTGGCAGAATTTTAGCCAGAATTTCTGACGGACTGTATTTTAAGTTGAAGTAACTCTCTTCTCTATTCTTTTAAAAGAATAATAGAAGTTGATTGTAGAAAATTTGGAAAACACAGGATCAAGCAGAGATAACCCAGTTTCAGGAAACTTTTCTAATCCTGATTTTGATGTCAACTCCCTGCTGTGCCTTTATTATTTGTGTGATTTTGAGCAATATGCTGACTACCACTAAGCCTGATTTTTTTTTTTTTTCCTTTGGGAAATGAGTTAATAGAGTTCTTATTGACCTTACCAACACTTAAGTAGGATTTAGTATCTGGTTGGGTTCTAGGCACTTTACATATTTAAATAGTTCCATTTTACTGTTGGTGGCGAAGATGAGATTATGAACCCAGATAATCTGATTCCAGATTGTACTGGTTTTTATTCTATAAAATTGTACCTACAAAGTTGTATCATGGAAAATAATGATAATAATAGTAAAAGAAAACAACCCAAACTGAAAAATATTGTCATACAGTGTGTATACTAAGAAATGGACATAAGTGTGCAGATACATGGGATTTTGGTTCTCTGAACACACACGGCCAATATCCAAATTAAGAACAATACATTACTAGTGTTCCAGGAGTCCTTACTGTTCCTCTTCTGTTGTCGTTTACATGGTATGAGCCAGTGAAACAATATATACAAAAAATATGCATTTTCACAATTTTTGTACTTTTGCTATATATTAACTTCCACAAATAAGGGAACATATGTAACATTTGATTTGGGGGGCATCAGGCTTATTTCATTGAGCTTAATCATCTTAAGTTACAACCATTTTGTTGCATATGTCAGGATTTCATTCTTACGATTGAGTAAATGTTCCACCTTGTTTATGTCACATTTTGTTTCATTCTGTATCTTAGCTATTGTGCATTGAGCTGCTGTATACTCAGGAATGCATATATATTTTTCATATGCTGATTTCATTTCCTTTGGATACATTTCCAGGACTGGGATTGCTGGATCAATTTTAGGGTAAATTTATTTTAAGTTTTCTGAGACATTTCCAATGTTCTCCATTATGGTTGTACCAATTTGCATTCTCACCAGTAGTGGATTACCTTTTATTCCACATTTTTGCCAACATTTGTTTCTTTTTGATTTTTGTAAAATAGCCATTTTTAAAGGTTTATTTATTTATTTGTTTTGAAAGAGTTGGAGAGAGAAAGAGAGGTAACTTCCACCCACTGATTCACTCCCCAGATGGCTGCAATGCTGGTACTGGCCCATGCCCAAGCCAGGAAAGGTGATACCCCATTGTGATTTTCATTATTATTATTATTATTATTTTGTGCTTCTCTAATGGCTAGTGCCAGTTTGTACTCTTAACCACTATGTTATGTTGTCACACAGGATAGTAGGAGGGGTTAAATGTGACACTCGTCGGACAAGTGCTTTCTTAATTGTCTATATATTTTAGTGTCATTGAGAGTATGCTCTATATACAATTCTGTATTTTTACACTGTACTGTGTTTTACTGTCATTCCTTAAATGTGATTGCCCTTTGCTTCTGTGAGTTAGCTCAGTGGTTAAATACATTGTGTTTCTCTGAGTAACTATTATGTTTTCCATATTTTTCTTTCTTATTCCATTTTATTTTTGACTAACGTACATTTTTATGGGGTATGCTGTGATAGTTTGATGTATATATCAAATATGTAATGATCAAATTAGAGTGATTAACATTCTCATTTCCTTAAGCATTTGTCATTTCTCTATGTTGAGTGCCTTCATACTCCTCTTTTTATTTTATAAAATATACAAGAAATTGATAAAATATGTAATCACACTGTTGTGCTATGGAATTATATCTTTTAAAGAATAGCTTATGTAATAGATTAATGAGATAGAGTTTGCATACTATTAGGTTTATCCTTTGAAGTATACGATTCAGAGGTTTCTTAGAATAGTCCCGCAGTTGTGCAGCTGTCTTCATCACTTAATTCCATAATCTAATTCAGTATCCTCCCCCCCAAAAAAGGAGCACCGGACCCCTTAGGGGTCACACTGTGTTCTTCCAGACTCTGTTAGCCTCTGAGCTAGTTTATATCTCTGTGACTTTGACTAGCTTGGGTCATATAAATGCTGTCATACAATATGTAGCCTTCGGGTTCTCTCAGCATAATATATTCAGTTGTTTAGGGTTTATCTATAGTATAGCAAAAATGAATATTATTGCAAAATAGTATTCTATTGTATGGATGTATACCACCTTTTACTTAATAAATATATAGTTGAGGGGCCCAGAACAGTGGTGTAGCTTGCTAATCCTCTGCCTGCAAGCACTGGCATCCTATATAGGTGTCAGTTCGGGTCCTAGGTGCTCCACTTATGATCCAGCTTCCTGCTATGGTTTAGCAAAGCAGTGAAGAATAGCTCAAGTCCTTGGGACCCTGCACCCACGTAGGAGACCCAGAAGAAACTCCTGGCTCCCAGCTTTAGATCAGCTCAGCTCTGGCAATTGGTTAGTGAACATGCAAATGGAAGACCTCTCTCTCCCTGCCTCTCCTCTCAGTAAAAATCTGCCTTTCAAATAAAAATAAATCTTTAAAAAAATGCCAGTTGGTGGATATTTGGGGTAGTATACTTTTAGGTTATTAGAAATAATACTGTTGTGCATATTTATGGCAACATGCGCTCTCAGTTCTCTTGGATTTATAGGTAGGGTGGAATTTCTAAAACTGCCAAATTGTTTGCCAAAGTATCCATAACATCATACATTACTCTCAGCAGCAAATGAAGATTTTGGTTTCTCCATATGCTCATCAGTGCTTATTTATCCATCTTTTGTTTTGCAGCCATCCTAGAGGATATAAGGTATTATCTTGTGGTTTTAACTGGCATTTCCCTAATGAGTAATTGTGATGAGCATATTTTCATGTGCATATTGGCCATGTATAATATTTTCTTAGGAGAAAAGTTGATTCAAGTCCTGTGCTCATTTTAAAATTGGATTTTTAAAAAATTGATGAATTGTAATAATTTCTATTTCATGTAGATTCAAGTCATTTATCAGATAAATGATTTACAGATATTTCTTCCTGTTCTGTTTGTAGTGTTTTCACTTTCTCCATTATGCATTTGAAGCACAAAAAAACTTAATTTTTATGTAATTTACTTATTTTGGTTTTATTTGTTGATGCCTTTGGTGGTGTACTTAAGAAGTCATTGTTTAAGCCAAGATTCATAGAGATTTACTCAGATATTCTTTGAAGAGTTTTATTGCCTTAGCTCTTAGATTTAAATCTATAGTTCATTTCAGGTTAATTTTTTTCTGTAGTGTAAGTTTGGGGTCCATCTTCATTGTTTTCTTTCTGAATTATCCTTTTATTCCAATATCATTTGTTGAAAAGACTGTTCTTCATTGAATTGTTTGGACACCTTTAATTTGAACCTATTTCTTGGTCTTTGTAATTGATAGTTTTGGCTTTGTTAATAACTAGTTATGCAACTTTCAGTGCTCATAAACTTTGCTCCTTACTTTTTCCCTCTGTAAGTGAATAAACACCTTATTGGGTTATAATGAGAATTAATGAAGATAAATGAAGGGTCTTCAGAAAGTTCTTAGAGAATACATATTATGAGGAAGTATTCATGGATTTTTTTCACCAAAATAAATGGATCTTTTAATTAATTTTGAACAAACTTTTTGAAGTCTTCTCATTTGTGTAAAAAGTTTAGAACAGTACCTTACTTATAGAAAGCATTTAATATGCTAGCTGATGCCATCATCACTATTATTACCATTGGCGTCATCATCATCGTTTTCATCATCTCCATTATATTGTCATCACCATCATAAACCTTAAATGTTATTCTCTCATCTGTGTGTGATTTATCTCCTTTACTGAATTGTAAACTCTGAAGTTAGATATCACACCTAAAAAGTAACTGTTCCTAATTAGGGAGGGATTATAAAAAGCAATGAGAATTTAAGGCAAACTCTTGAAAAACCCTTGCATTGAAGTATTTTTATTGCACTTGACAGTTTAAAAAAATATTCTTAAGGAAAATGCTAGAGTTTTTGTTTTTACTTTTTTAAACTTTAGTAACATATTTGAAGCTCGCAGAGTGGCATCTTCCATCCAAGTTGTTGTAATGACTAGGTCTGGGCCAGACCAAAGCCAGGAGCCAAGCGCAAGGCTCCAAGCACTTGGACCTTCTTCCACTGCTTTCACAGGAGCATAAACTGTAGCTGGATCAGCAGTAGAGTAGCTAGGCCTCAGCCCAGTGCCTCTGTGTGATGCCAGTGATGGAGGGGATAGTTTGCCTATTAATGCCACAATGTAGGCCCATAAATTCTTTGTTTTAAGCTAACTGGAAAGAAAGGGGTCAGCTAAGAAGTTCTGTAATTATTTAGATAGGTAAAGAGATTTTAGGACAGGAGTCATTTATATGTGTTGCTTTGTAAAGATTACTCCCTGTCTGTACATATGGTAAAATGTTAATTGTGGTCTTCTATTAATTTTGTGTGTTTGGTCCAGAGGCCTTAGGATTGCTGTTTAAAATATGCTGAGCTAATACTCACAACTTTCACATTGTAATTTGATATCAATAAATATCAGTTTCATATGAGAGAGATGCTAGAAGTGATATCCTCATTTGTTCTGTAAAGTTTAATCTTTATTTTAAGGTAAGCATAAATGTAGCTGGCAGTGATTTTAAGTGTTAGAATACATATGAAGAAACCCCATCTCTTTTACTCTTCCCTTTTCTGTTCTTACTCTCATTTTTAGCATCTGGCTGGCAGTTTTTCTAATTGTGAGATTGTGTGACTGTTGATAAAGCTTGTGAGTGCTATCTTAGTTCTCAGCTTTAGGTCATATTTTCTGTATTCCCAGAGCTCTTCCTTGAACAAGTATATTTAAATGGTTGATTTGAGACTTTTCTTGTTATAATTTTCTGTTGTAAAATGAGAGAACCAAATATTTTGGTAGCTTGTTCCTTTCATCCTGATTAACTCCCTGATGTTTGAAGTTGTTTTCCTTAAGTTGTCTTTTCTTCCTCTTTGGTGGTGCTTACTTACTACATTTTCTAATGTTTTAAAATGGTGACATTATTTTATTCCTAGATGTCATTTGTCAGAGTGAACCGTTACAGTCCCCGGGGAGGTGGAAGAAAAGTATTAAAGCTAAAGAAGAAGAAACCTTCAGTGAAGCAAGAATGGGATGTAAGTTACTTGGGACAAAAAAGAATGCAGCATCACTCTAGAGGAATAGACAGGGTGACACGACCCTTGTCACTCAGGACATTGTTCCGAATGGGCTCAGCATCTGATAGGCTAAAATGGGCTGCTGAGCCTAATATGTCTTGGATTGCAGAGTGAAAGATAGGTTTGTGAAGTTGATCTTTTTATGCTGAATCCTCTGACTCCTTTGACTTGGAAAGACTCCTCCGCTCTACTTTAGGATCTCTCTGTGTTAAGGTAGTTCTAACTAACTTTTGTCACGGAAGTCTGAATTTTTTTCTTTTAGGTTTGCCCATAGCAATCAAATGTACTATTATTATGTGAGTGGCATTTTTAATTGAAAAAATGGTGAATCTTGACATCTTGCCCCTGGAATTATTTGTAGTTCACCTACAAATTTATTTATTTTTATTTAAAAAAAAGTTATTTATTTTTTGAAAGGCAAGATTATAAAGAAAGAGGGAAAGAGAGAGACAGAGATCTTCCCTCCACTGGTTCCTTCCTTAAATGACTACAGTTTTCAGGGCTGGAATGTGCCAAAACCAGGAACCTGAAATTCCAACTAGGTACCCAAGTAGATAGCAGGCTTCAAGGGCTTGGGCTGTCTTCTACCAATTTCCCAAACATATCAGCATTGATTTTGATTAGAATTGGAGCAGCCAAGACTTGAAGCACTGTTCATATGAGATGCTGCCATTGTAGGTAATAGCTTAATCTGCTGCAAGCAGTCCCAGTCAATTTTAATATACAGAAGTTCTCTTAAGATGTAAGACAGAGGTTGGAACCATAGGATGTAAGTTAAGCCTCTGCCTTTGGTGCTGGCATTCCATTTGGGTGTCAGTTGGAGTCCTGACTTGTTTACTTGCAGCCCAGCTCCCTGCTAATGTGCCAGGGAAAGCAGCAAAAGATTACCCTGTACTCACATGGGAGACCCAGAAGAAGGTCCAGGGGCCTTACTTCTGCTTTGGCAGCCATTTTGTGAGTGAACCAGTGGATCAAAGATCTCTGTATGTCTTTTCTTTTCTCTCTGTGTATCTGCCTTTCAGACAAAAATAAACACGTCTTTAAAGATGTAAACCAATGTCAAAATTTGGGACACGAGATCCCTGGCTCCTAATCTCAATATTAACATAGTACTAGCTAGGGTATTTATGTCTTTTACAGGCTGGTACTTGGTTTGTACCATGAACTTTATGTTTTCATTTCGTGTTGTGAGAATAACCAATCAAAGACTAGTTTGGATCTCTGGAATTCCTTTGTACTCTTGAGGTTACAGTCAAAGGTCTTATCCAGATATCCCTCAAACTAGAAATCTGGCAGGAAGACTTCTCTGCATTCAGACTATGCTGTTGCTGATTGACTATAAAATATTAGATAGATGAACTCGTTAAAAGGCAGAAAGAAAAGTATGTCTTCTTCAGGGAGTTTTCTTTGAATTCAGTATTTATTCCAGTATGCTATGATTGTGCTTAATTGATGCTCATTATTTCAAGTTGGATTAAGAACCATTCTCATTTACTTTTGTTACTAGCCCTGGAAAAATCTTTTCTCTAAAAAAAAGATTTATTTGTTCTATATGTAAAAAAAAAAATGGTAGCTGGTATGTAAAAACTGTACTGCATGGTATGTGGGTACTAAGTGATGTTTTGCTTGCTGTGAACTCTGATATCTGTTGAGGGGAAATACTTTTATCTTTTCAAGCATTTAAAGATTTATTTTATTTTATTTTTATTGGAAAGTCAGATACAGAGAGATGAGGAGATATAGAAGGGAAGATCTTCCACCCATTGATCTACTCCCAAAGAAGCCACCATGGCTAGAGCTTCCCCAATCTGAAGCCAGTAGCCCGGAGTCCCTCCAGGTCTCCCACATGGGTGCAGGGTCCCAAGGCTTTGGGCCGTCCTTGACTGTTTTCCCAAGTCACAAGCAGGGAGTTGAATGGGAAGCAGGCTGCCAGGATACAACCAGAACCCGTATGTGATCCTGGTGCGTGCAAGGTGAGGACTTTAGCTGCTAGGCTACTGTGCCAGGCCTCCTATTTTTTCAAACATTTAGCATTTCTTTATGGTGACAACAGCCCAAATCCTATCTTTTAGGATTGTTTTTAATAAAAATATGTACAGTTCACTAACATCTATAGTCATGCTACTCTACATAGAACCTCAGAACTTCTTACTCCTACCTAGTACTTTCCTTCAACCTTTGGCCATTTCTTCCTCTCTTCTTCCTTCTCAACCTGTAGTAAACTTCATTTTATTTTTGACTTCCGTACAATCACTTACTTTTAGATTCTATGTATGAGAGCATGTGATTTTCTGTGCTTGGCTTATTTCATGTAGCACAATAACTTCAGTTCCATCCATCTTGTTGGAAATGATAAGATTTTATTCCTTCTTATGGCTGAGAAATATTCTGTTGTATATATGCACCACATTTTTTATGTGCATTGGTTGTTGGACACTAATTGTTTCTGCAATTCTTGGCTATTGTGAATAGAGCTGTTAATAAACAAGGATGTACAGCCATCTCTGACAGATTTGGTTATTGGATCACATGGTCAATTTTTGGTTTTCTGAGGGACCTCCATTCTGTTTTCCATAAGAATTGTGTAAATTTACCTACGTAGCAACAGTGTGCCTGGGTTCTGTTTAGTCTACATCTTAACCAAAACTTGTCATCTCTTGTGTTTTAATAACAGCCAATCTTATAAAAAATAATAATAATATTCAGTTTTGTGAGGTGATACCTCATTGTAGTGTAATTTTGTACTTCCCTGGGTTAGTGATGAGCTTTATTTCATACACTTGTTTGCCATATTGTATGAATTCCTTTGAGAAATGGCGCTCTAGGTCTACTGCCCATTTTTAAATTAGATTTTTTTTTTTAAAGATTTATTATTTTTTCATTGGAAAGGCGGATATACAGAGAGGAGAGACAGAGAGGAAGATCTTCCGTCCGATGATTCACTCCCCAAGTGAGCACAGCGGCCGATGCTATGCCGATTCCGAAACCAGGAGCCTCATCCGGGTCTCCCACGCGGGTGCAGGGACCCAAAGCTTTGGGCCGTCCTCGACTGCTTTCCCAGGCCACAAGCAGGGAGCTGGAAGGGAAGTGGGGCTGCCGGGATTAGAACCGGCACCCATATGGGATCCCGGGCGTGCAAGGCAAGGACCTTTAACCACTTGCGCCACCGCGCCGGGGCCCTAGATTTTTTTTTTATTGACTTGACATTCCTTAGATATTCTGGATATTAACCTCCTTATCAGATGTATCACTTGAAGCGATTTTACTGATGCTTTCACTCTGTTCATTTCCTGTAAAAACTCATTAATTTGATGAGATCCCATTTTTATATTTTACTTTTATTTTCCATGCTTTTTGGATCTGATCTAGAAAATCCTTGCTCATTTCAATGTCCTGAAGTGTTTTCTCTATAGTTTCTTCTGCTAGCTTGATAATTTCAGGTATTATTTTAGGTATTCCATTTTGAGTTGATTTTTGTACGTGTTGAGAGATAGGAATCTAGTTTCATTTTTCTGCATGTGGATATCTGATTTTCCCAGTATCATGTATTAAAAAGACTGTTCTTTTTTCAAGTATGTGTCCTTAAACCTTTGTAAAGTAGCAGGGGTTTGTGTTGTGTGGATGTATTTCTAGGATACCTATTCTGTTTCAATGGTCTATGGATCTGTTTTTATGCCAATACCATGCTGTTTCAGTTACTGTAGATTTGTAATATATTTTGTTACGTATTTTGCAGTATTTAAATATATTTTAAAAATACACTATATGTATTTTTATATATTATGAATTTTAAAATCAGGTGATGTCTCCTATTGTATTCTTTTGCTTTGAGCTGTTTGGAGGGTCTTTTATGGTTCCATCCAAATTTTAATAATTTTTCTCTTTTTTTCCTAGTTCTGTGAAGAGTAATACTGGGATTTTGATAGGGCTTGCTTTTAATCTGTAAATAATCTTGGGCAGTACTGATTCTTGTTGATCATAAACATGATGTCTTTCCATTTCTTTAATATCAATTTCCTTTTTTTTTTAAAGATTTATTTTATTTTTATTGGAAAGGCGGATATACAGAGAGGAGAGACAGAGGAACATCTTCCATCCGATGATTCACTCCCCAAGTGAGCACAGCGGCCGATGCTATGCCGATTCCGAAACCAGGAGCCTCATCCGGGTCTCCCATGCGGGTGCAGGGTCCCAAAGCTTTGGACCATCCTCTACTGCTTTCCCGGGCCACAGGCAGGGAGCTGGAAGGGAAGCGGGGCTGCCGGGATTAGAACTGGCGCCCATATGGGATCCCTGGTGTTCAAGGCGAGGACCTTAACCACTTGTGCCATCACGCCAGCCCCAATATCAATTTCTTTAACCAATAATTTATGGTCCTCATTGTAGAACTTTTACCACTTTCATCAAATTTATTTTTAGGCATTTTTTTTGGTATATATCTCTTTAATGTGGGATTTATGATGACTTTCCTGATTTTATTTTTGGATGAATCACTGTTGGGGCATAACAACACTACTGATTTATTCACATTGATTTGTATCCTACAACTTTGCTGAGTTTATTAGTTTTAAGATTTTTTTGTAGGGCCTTTGGGGTTTTTTTTAATCATATCATCTACAAACAGTGAGTTTAATTTCTGCTTTCCAATTTGGATGCCCTTTATGCTTCCCTTGATATAGTGAAGATGAAGTCATTTTGGGAGGAGTCAGGTTGCAGGATTGCAACCTAAAGCTGTGCAGACTCTGCACCCAGGGGTGCTGCTTACAAAGTACCTCCTGGAGAGGTACAACATGATGGCCTGGTTTTAGTGTCTTTTTACTTAAATGGTTGCTTTTTGCATCTTAGAAAGTTATGGAGTACTGTAAAACTCTTATATTTTAAATAGACTATATGTTTAACATATTTGCAGATACAAATTGAATCTCTTTATAGTGATCACATTTCCTATGAGAAATCTTGGGATTTGCCTTAGGGAACCCTTTTTCCAGAGTGAAGTTTGAAGCCTGCAACTTTTGCTGAACTTATTTTATAGTTGCTGAATTGAATGCTTAATTTATTTAAGCCTCCTAAAATTAGTCTGTTGCTTTCTGTAAGACCTAAAACTAGTCTGTTAATAATTATGTTAAGTGTACTAGTTCCTGGAAAGACAACATTTTTATCCTAGGATTTTGAATCCATTGTCAGTCATTACAACCCAGTAAATACTGATAATTTACAAAAGAATTTTAAGAAGGCCTTTTTCTTTCTTTTGCAGAATACTGTGAACGATCTAACAGTTCATCGGGCAACGCCTGAAGATCTGGTGAGTTTTATATCCGCTGTAAACTCATTTATTCAGTATTTTATTTATCATTTATTTCTGAACTTCAGTATAGAAACTACAGTAACTTCTTAGAAGGTGTTATGATTAATCTTGCCTGTGTGTGTTTTAAATAAAAAAGCCCATCTTTTGAATTTTCTGATTTTTCCCTTACATACGTGTGTATCAGGATTTAATTAGATAGGTTCCATTTGTAGTTCAAATCTGTGTAGTCTAATATCTATAAATACCTATTGGCCTTGTCCTTTTTATAAATAAGCAACATTTGTTAATGCTTCCCCGTATAAACTTACTGATCTAGTTCAGGACTTGGAACTTTTTAACAGTTTATCTCTTTGTATAGTGTATATTTCTATTTTTTTGTGTATTTCTATTTTTGAACCCTAATTCATATTATTTTTCTTATTTGGAGTAGTTTCCCCCTCCAAATTTTTAATTTTTTCCTCTTTGACCTGATTTAAGTCCCCCATCCCCTCTTTTCTTTTTTCCCTTTTGAAGCTTCTGCTTAAGGGGCTTTTGTTTGTTGCTTTGTTCTGTTTTGAGAGGCAAAGAGAGAGAATGTGTGCTTCCATCTTCTAGTGTTCTCTCCAAATGCCTGTAGTGGCCCTTAGTTGGTACTGAATCTGGGAACCATGTTCTCTATCCAGGTCTCCAACACGGGTGGCAGAAACCTAGTGGCTTGGGCCACCACCATTTCCCAGGGTCTGTGCTGGCAGGAAGCTGGACTGAGAAGCAGAACAGGCATTGAACCCTGTCACTCCAATTTGGGATGCATGTATGCATGTATCTTAATCTGTGCCTTAGCCACTAGGCAGAATGCCTGCCCTTCCACCTTAAGTTTTAACAAAACAGAGTGTGTTGATATACAATTCATGTATCATAAAATTTACTCTGTTAAAAAGGATTAACTTTAGTGGTTTTGTGTGTGGGGGTGTGTATTTACAGGTTTGTGCAATCACTAACTAGTTTTAGGAGGCTTTTGTCTCACCAAAAAGAAACCCTATACCCATTAACCGCCACTCCTTATGCCCAACTTTTACCAGTCTGTCTGCGGTGATTAATCTGTCTGAGGTTTCCATGGATTTGCTTATCCAGTACAAATCCTGTACCCATTAATAGTCATTCCCTTTGCCCAACTTGCCCCCCAGTTTGTGGCAATAATTTTTATATCTCTATGGTTTTCCCTATTCTGTATTTTTTTAAAATAATGGAATATGTTGACCTTTTGTCTTCTAGCGCCTTGTAGCATATTATCAAGGCTCATTTTTTTTAGTGTGGATAGGTACTTAGTTTTTTTTATTATTGTTAAATATATCATTGTATGATACACTGTATTTGTCCATTCATCAGTTGGTGCACATTTGTTTTTCCACCTTTTGACTGTTAGGAATATTGCTGTTATGAACATTCATGTGCAAATTTTTGTCTGAACATATGGTGTCAGTTCTTTTGTGTATATCTGTAGGAGTAGAATTTCTGGATCATATGATGCTTCCATAATTAACTCCTTGAACACCTGCCAAACCTTTTGCCAAAGTGGCAGCTCAGTTTCCATTCCACCAGCATGTGTGATGTTTCCAATTTCAGCACATTGTTGTGAAGTCTTTTTTGGTGGAGTTCTAGCGAGAGCGTGAAGTGCCATCTCAGTCTTGATCTGAATTCCCTTAATGAGAAGTGATGTCGGACATCTTTAGCATGAGCTTATTTTCCATTTGTAGTCTCTTCTATGTAGTAAGGTCTATACTAATTCGTTAGTCATTTGGAATTTATGTTATTGTATAATTTTGAGTTATCAAAATTAATTTTATGTTCTTGATATACATGCCATTTCAGATGGGTGATTTACAAGTAGTTTGTATAAGTTGTTTTTGCTTTCTTGATGGTGTTTCTGTAATCATCAGAATTTCAAATTTTGGTGAAGTCCAACATTATTTTTGTCACTTGTGCTTTTATTGTCATATTTAAGAAATCATTACCTAATCTTAGTTTCATAAAGACTTATTGATGTCTTTTGTTCTAAGAGTTTTATAGTTTTAACTCATATGTAGGTTTATAATTGATTTTGAGGTAATTTTTATATGATGTGAGGTAGAGGTCCACCTTCATTATTTTGCAAATAAACAACTGCCCAAGCACCATTTGTTAAACAGTTACTAACTGATTTGTCTTGGTGCTATATAAGGCTTATTCTGCACTGTTAAGATTATCCCATTGATCTGTATTTCTGTGTTTATTTTAGTACCACACTGTCGTGATAACCAGAGTTTTTGTAGTAGGTTAGAAGTCTTACTTTTTGAAACTTTCCAACAGTTAGCTTCTGCTTAACAGTTGTTACACTCAACACCTAAATAAGACACAGAATGTATCAATAGAATATGTCATTTGTGTTTATGTGGGTATGGCCATTGTCCCTGGACAGATGGCTAATGATGCTTTTTAAGAGATAAAAAAATATGTATCTTACATGTTGTAATGGAGCTATGAATCTTAATCATAGTAGGTGCTCTTAAAATATTTATTGAGGGTAATAATGATTCCCAACTGACGTAAGTATTTTATGAAAAATTTCAAACTCAAATGAAAGTAGACACAGAAATGTCTAGAACTCCCATGTCATGTTTTCCAGATAGAAGTTTTGAAAATTTTGTCATGGCTGTTTTACTTATTTTGCACCTTTGCTTGTCCCCTCATTGAAACATTTTAAAGCAAGCCCGAGAGAGTACATCATTTTGTGCTGTGTATCGGTTTCTTTCAGGAAACAACACTGCAGTGCTCCTATCCTGTCTGACAGAAGTAAAAAGTAATTGCTTGGTAACAGTCTGTAATCAGATTTTTTCAAACATTTTATAAAATACCATTTTCATTTTTTTTTCTTTGAGTCAGAATTCCCACATAATATTTGGTTTGTTAGTCTTTAAGACTTGTTTCTTATTTACATGTCGAGAGATCTACCATTTTACCAGCTTCTGTATGGGCTTTGTTTCTATTCACAGTTCTGGATAGTACAGTGCTTAGAAAGCCAAATAGCTGCTTTTCTTTCTTACCCACCTCAGTGAATTCCCCCCACCTGACTGGTAAGACTTGCAACTTGTTTCTTACGCTGTAAGGTCTCTAAGTCTCTGGATTTCTGCATCTTCAGTGACCTACTTCCACAGGAAACCACTGCTGGACAATAAAAGCAGGACTTGTGGTGATGTCATCACAGAATGGGTTTGTTTTTGCCAAAAGTGACTCATTAAAATCTTGGTTTTGACCCATTTTTTCAAGATTGATTTATTTATTTGTTTGAAAGAGAGAGACATGGGGGGGGTGGAGGGGAGAGAAAGAGAAAGAGATCGATCGATCTTTCTTCCCTTCATCCCTTGGTTTACTCCCCAGATGTTCACAACAGTCGAGGCCTGACCAATGCATGACCTTCCTCTGTAATTTCCCAAGTGCGTGACAGAAGCCCAAGCCTCTGGGACAGCTTTTCCTGCTTTTCCTGCTTTTCCTAGGCCATTGTAGGGGGATGAATCAGAAATGGAGCAGCTGGGACTTGAACTAATTCCCATGTGGAATGCCAATATGTCAGTCAGTAGCTTTACCCACCAAGCCACAATGCTGACCAAACCCATTTTGATTTTATTACCCATTAATTGAATCTCAACTTTTGGTTTGAAAAATACTCATTTATTTGGAATGTCTTATATAAAGGAAGCTAAAATTAATATTACTTTCACAGTGCCTTCTAGCTATGTTTACTAGTACAGATATGTATCATTTTTGAAAATTTCAAGGACTATAAACATTTTTTAAAGATGTATTTATTTTTATGGCAGTCAGATATATATAGAAAGGAGAAGAGACAGAGAGGAACATTCCATCTGATGATTCATTCTCCAATTGACCACAACAACTGGAGCAGCGCCAATTCGAAACCAGGAGCCATGAGCTTCTTTTGGGTCTCCCACGTGGGTGCAGGGTCCCAAGGCTTTGGGCTGTCCTTCACTGCTTTCCCAGGCCACAAGCAGGGAGCTGAATGGGAAGTGGAGCAGCCAGGATTAGAACTGGCATCCATATGGGATCCTGGTGCGTTCAAGGTGAGGACTTTAGCCGCTATACTCAGCCACCGTGCCAGGCCCAACTATAAACATTTTGATTGTGAGTCTGTATAAATGTATGTTGTCTAGACAGAAAAAATTAAAATTAAAAATGGTGAGCTAGACTTGGGTAACCGACTATCAAAATAGACAGCCTTGGGCCCTGTGCAGTATCCTAGCAATTAAAGTCGTCACCTTGCATGCACTAGGATCCCATATGGGCCCCGCTTCCCACCCAGCTTCCTGCTTGTGGTCTGAGAAAGCAGTCGAGGATGGCCCAAAGCCTCAGGACCCTGTACCCGTGTGGGAGACCCAGAAGAGGCTCCAGGCTTCTGGATTCTAATCGACTCAACTCCTGCTGCTCCTGCTGTTGCAGCCACTTGGAGAATAAATCAACAAAAGAAAGATCTTTCTTTCTGTCTCTCCTCCCCTCTGTATATCTGACTTTCCAATAAAAATAATAAATCTTAAAAAAAATACAGCTTCTTTGTTCCTGAAACATTCTTTTGTATTTTTTCCCTTCTACATAGGAACGCCGTCATGAAATACATAAATCAAAGAATAGAGCATTGGCACACTGGGAACTCCAAGAAAAAGCTCTGAAGAGAAAATGGAGAAAGCAGAAAACAGAAACTTCCAATCTTGAGAAAAGAAAGTTATCTATCATGAAGGAGGTAATGATAGCATTTCTCTGAATTTGACTCGTATGGGAGAAGCTGTAGTAATGATTGCACCCTTACGTGATGATCTGCATGTGGACGTCAGTGCAGCAGAGTGACAGAATCTAGTTTTGTGGTTTGGATTCGTGCTTCACAATTTCCTAGCCCTGTGAACTTAAGCACATTTAGCATCTTGGCCTGAATTATTCATCTTTATAATAGGAAAACCCACTTGCCTGGTTATATTACTATGTAAGTTTAATGATAAAATATTTAGATAGTATGACGATAGATAAAATGATTAGCACAGTTACTGGTGCATCATTAGTACCTTATACATGTTTAAAACTGCTATATTTTTCTCATTTCAACAACAGTGCTGTTAAATTGCTTTGCACACAATCGTTATCAGTTGTGCCTTTTTACCTAAATACTAAGAACCACTTGCCAGGCAAAAAGTGTTTAGACAAGTAACCAGGTATGTAGGAGTCAGCCCTGTGGGAAGTAAGTGGAAACTGCACCAAAATAACCCTTGTTTAGGTGAGCTATGGTGTAAGGAATTGTGTTTGCTCTGTAGTCCAGTGTATTATCTAGTGCTTTATTGGTGGATACTAAGGTAGTGTACTATAGTATGATTTAAGCATCTGGGGGAAAAAAAGACCTCAAAGTATAGTAATTCAGGCAAAGTAGAAATGCATTTCTCTCCTGGAGCAGTAGAAAATTTAAGTCGTAGCTTGTGGGGGGTGTGTGCAGTCCTTCATTACATGTCTCTGAGTAGAGTGTTTTCACTGTTTCCGTTGTATGCCTGCCAGCAGGCCACAACACACTCCTCATGTTATCTAGAAGTTGGAAATATAACTTCCTTGTTGACTAGAAAGCTATTTCCACCTGCAGAGATGATTAGGCGATCTCACTATGTACTTGGCTGAAACTTGGGAGTTCTGCTGTTACAGGAGATGAAAGGGAAGAATATTGTTGGATAAGTAGTAGTGTCTGCCACCCACAGATTTGTTTTTTTAGCTTGTCACTGTAAGTGATATAATCAGTATCCTTGTTTTGTTCTGGGGTGCATGTGCATTTGTAGAATACAGTTTAAGGCAATTACACATTTTAAAAATTTTGTTTACATTTTACAAACAGACTGTGTGTGAGAGAGAGGGAAAGCAAGAGATGGGTACAGCCCATATTTGTTGATTTGCACTCCAAATACCTGCAAGGTGTGTGGCTGGGCTGGGGCTGAAGCAGGCAGCCAGGAACTTTATCTAGGGCTAGCATGTGGGTGATGGAAACCCAGTCATTCGAGCCATCGTCACAGCCTTGTCAGGAGCTGGAGCCAAGGCTAGAACTCACATCTTCTGGTGGGGCACATGGCATCCTAAGTGCCAGGCTAAATGCCCACTACGTAGGGTAAATTCTCAAAAGAATTGCTGAGTCAAAGGATAAGTGTGTTCTTCAGTATTGCTACATTTGTAATATTTCTATTTAAGGGGTGTGATGGGACCATACAAAGAAGGTTTAATCATGTGTTAAAGCTACTGGGACTCCTTTGCACTAGAGCTGGGCTCCTAGATTTTCATAAATTAAGAGAAAAGCCCTCTGGCCAGCACTTTCATTTAATTTTCTGTGTAATATACTCTTGCCATGAGAATCAATCAAAAGAGGATCTAAATCTAACTAAGAGAGGGGTTTTCTTAAAGTCTAAATTAATTCCAAAGTGCCACAATTTCCAAGTTAGTTAATTTCCTAGTTCCATGTGGTTTCTGTTGTCATGGAATGAAGGGGTTAGGATGAAGAATTTCTGATACCATCTTTGCGGAGACCCTAAGTGCATCTTTGAATATCTAAAATGTGCATCAGCACTCAGAATTAAGCTTATGTTCTACAGACTAGGACAAGTAGCATATGTAGTTGGGCCTTCAGAGACCACTGTCCCTTTTAAGAGAATGTTTTTTTAAAGTAGTTATAGATAGATCCATAAAGGGCAAAAGAATCTATGTGCACACAAGCCATTTCTCCCAAAAGAACTTGGGCAATGACTAACAGTAGGTGACAGGGCATTGGCTTAAAATCCTGTTGTAATCAATGTCAAATCTCAGTAAGATTATTCTTTCACAATCTGCTTCTGTCAGTTCCATCGAATTTTTTCCCCCCAAAGAGTTATTTATTTGAAAGGCAGAGTGATCGGGGTGGGAGTGGTGGAGGAGGGAGATAGAGATCTTGCATCTGTTGGTTCAGTCACTCACCAAATGGCTGCAATAGCCGGGTCTGGCCCAGACCAAGCCTAGGAGCCAGGAACTCCATCCAGGTCTCCTGCATGGGTGGATGGGACCGATCACTGGGCCATCTGCTGCCTCTTGAGGTACAATAGCGTGCTCGCTTCGGCAGCACATATACTAAAATTGAGGTACATTAGCATAGGACTGGACTGAAGGCACAGTAGCAGAGCCTCAAAGCAGCACTCCACAGTGGGGTTACTGGTATTTGGAGGTAGGAGCTTAGCTCACTATGTTACTACACTGGTCCTCCTATGTCTTTTTTTTTTTTAAGATTTATTTATTTTCACTGGAAAGTCAGATATACAGATAGAAGGAAATACAGAGAGAAAAATCTTCCATCTGATAATTCATTGCCCAAGTGGCCGCAACAGTTGGAGCTGCACCAATTCACAGCCAGGAGCCTGGAGCCACCTCCAGGTTTCCCAAGTGGGTGCAGGGTCCAGCAGCCTTTGCGCCTTCCTCAGCCACCTTCCCAGGCAACAAGCAGTGAGCTGGATGGAAAGCAGGGCTGCTAGGATTAGAACTGGCACCCATATGGGATCCCAATGCGTGGAAGGCAAGGACTCTAGCCGCTAGGCTACTGCACTGAGTCCCCTTCCATGTCTTGATAGAAGATTGGTGTCTTTAAAAAATGAATAAACTCTTCAAAAGATACGTATTTTTTTGAAAGGCAGATTTATATAGAGAAGGAGAGACAGAGGGAGAGAAGTCTTATATCTGCTGGCTTACTTCCTAAGCCATAATGGCCAGAGCTGAGTGGATCCAAAGCCAGGAGCCAGGAAATTCGAGTCTTCCACAGGGGTATAGAGACCCAAGGACTTGAGTCCTCCACTGCCTTTCCAAGCCATAAGCAGCATGCTGGATTGAAAGTGGAGCAGCCAGGATACAACCCAGAACTCAGATGGGATGACGGTACTTACAGGTAGAAGATCAGCCTGTCATGTGACTGCATCAGCCTCCTGCCCCCCCTCTTCCCCCCCAACAGTCAACTCTTAAAACTGCTCTGAGGAAATAAGCTTTGTGTGCTCTTTCTGGTGCAGTAATAGATTATATTGATTCATTCATATTTCCCCCTGTTAACTTCATTTACTTGCAGCAGAGCTAAACATGGATAGAAATTTGGTTCACGGATAATATAAATTGTAGAAACAGTCTTAAATATCTCTAAAGTGCTTTACAGATTTTCATTGTGTCCACAGCCTTACAGTTTGTTTTTGGGTTTGAAGAGGTGATTTTAACTCTATTTAAACTTAAGGAAACTAAGTTTAGTGAGATTGGAGTTGCCTAATATCTTTTGACTTGGCCTAGAATCCCAGTCTTAATGATCCAAACATATCCTTGTTATACCGTTCCAAAACTTCAGTTCTTTGTAGAAGGAACAAATTCCAGATTTTATTCTTATCAACTGAGCCAGCCAACCTGTTTGATACTGGTGGGGGAAGAGATGGATTAAGTAAGATTATGACTCTTGTTGATTCTGTTTCTGTATCCTAAAATAATAACAGATCATATGGGACACTTGTTTCCATGGTGTAGAGAAATTCTGGTAAGAATATTTGTTACCAGATGTTTTACTAATTTGAGTTAGTGTTGGAAACTGGGCAGTTTCCAATTTTGAGACACCTTTCAACTTACAATGCCATCTGCTGGTGGTTGATGGTTAACTTGCTGATACTAACAGGCTTTCTGGTTCCTTCAAAAGTTGCTGGGTTGAATATTCATAACCAAAGGTAAGACAGAGATGGGATTTTTAGTTTCCACTTCTCTAGAATTAAAAAAGTATAGTGCAGAGGCATTGTATATTTTGTTTGATCATTCAGCTCACATCTTAAATTATGTTTTTTAAGTTGAATGGATTATGAAATTCATGATTAAAAGCTCTGAGCTTGTTGCTGTAAGATTTGTATCTTGCATTTGTGATTTTAGCTGTAGATCATCATTAGTAATAGATTACAGCTATCATGTTAAAAATAGGATATAAATTAAAAAGCCTGTGTTGTGGCATAGTGGGTAAAGCCGCATCTTTTATGGGTGCTGGTTGTAATCATGCTGGCTCACATCCAGCTGCCTGCTAATGCACCTGTGAAAGCAGCAGACGATGGCCCAAGTTCTTAGGCCCCTGCACCCCCTGGGGAGACCTGAAAGAAGCTCCTGGTTCCTGGCTCCCTTCTGGCCCTTGTGACAGCCATTTGGAGAGTGAATCAGCAGATGGAAGCATATGCTCTCTCTTGCTTGCTTTCCCTCTTTTCCCTCTTTTCCTCTCTCTCTGTGATTCTGTCTTTCAAATAAATGAAAGAATTTTTTTTAATTAAAAGATTTTAAATTAATGTATTTTACTTACTTAAAATATTTTTTTATTGTTTTTTGAGGTAGTTTTATTAATATCTCATTCCTTCCCTCTCTCCTTTCTTCCTCTCATAAATGAAATAAACCTAAAAAGATACATATATATAAAACTTTTGTTTTACATACATACATACATATGTAATTTTGTGTGTGTGTGTATGCATGTAATGTGTCCCAATTTACTGCTCTGAGTGGCAACCGGAGCACTTGGAATGCCACTAATTGTAATACTGCCCTCTAGTGGTATTTAAGAATGCTGCCAGTGAAAGATTTTAGTGGCCTGTGGTTTTTTGTGTTCTGTGCCTTCATGTTATTTTTCTTTGTGATTTGAAAAGGGAATGCATTTTCTTTCTGAATAATGTTTGTCATTAACACGTGTCCAGATTCTTTCTGATCAATACCAGATGCAGGATGTATTGGAGAAATCTGATAATTTGATGGCTGTAGCAAAAGATCTGTTTGCTCCTCGAAGGCGCACAGGTGAAGTATCTAATTCAAACAGCAGCTTATTTGATTTATTTACTATAGCTCACAGCTAACAGTTTTGAAGAATTGAAAGTCTTTTTTCTGGTATCATTTATATTACAAATATTTCAGGAAAGAAAATCTGTAAGAGTTGATGTGATTATAGTCATAGATAGTTTTTTTCTAGAAAGTAATTAATTAAACATTACAAATTATTCAGGTCAGAAAGGGTAAATTGTTATTATCCACTAAAATATTTTACAGTATAAGATACAGGATTTTGTAATTTTAGAATGTGATTTAATTTCCAGTTAAGATTAAATTACCACATCCAGTACTTACGTTTATATATATGTGTGTGTGTGTATCTATCTGCCTAACTATGTGTATATATATGTTTAATTTGAAACACAAAGCAACTGAAGTCTGGTTTTAAAAGTAACCTTGACTCCTGTCAAACACAGGAGGTTATTAATTTTTTCATGTAATTTTTCATATAATACATTGTTTATCTTAATCTCCAGAAGTATTTGATTTTAAAATGGGATTTGAATCTTGGATCAGCTATTTATTAGTGTGACTCTGGGCTTGTGTGTAATATCTTTGCATTTCAGTTTACTGATCTTTAAAAAACTCACAGAAGATTAGGAGGGTAAAATGAGTTAATATATAAGAGCTTTTGAAAGAATACTTGGCTTATAGTAAGCACTATATGGGTGAGCTGCTATTTTCATTGTAACTTAAGAATACAAAATGCTGATGTAAACTTGCAGCAGTGTAGAGTTTGTAAAGGATGTTTAATAAAAACAAGATCATAATGACTTATTTTCCTTGTCTAGGGTTTCCTAATGTAACAATGGCTCCTGATTCCTCTCAGGGTCCAATCGTGGTAAATCAAGACCCTATCACTCAGTCCAATCTTGATGAATGTCTCATAGAACCTCAGGTAATGTGTTCAACTCAGAGCTGTAATTCTCATGCTGAATTGAAATGTAGGTTGATGTGGTAAGCAGTTTAAAGCTTGATTATCAAGAAATGCTAGTTGGTTGCTAGTTTTTCCCCTATTCAAACATATTGCATTTCTGAGTAATGTTTGCTTGGAATTAGATAAAATCAGTTAGAAAATGGATGAAGGAGAAAGTCCAAAGGAATGCTCTTGAGTCCTAGCAAATGAAGGGAAGGGTAGAAAAAGAACTCATAGAGGAGATTGGAGATAAACAGCCAGAAGAATCGAAGAAAATTCGAGAAAATAGGTGTCATGAATACTAAAGGAGGAATCTATCAAGATTTTAAAAGAAATGTGTCATCAGTAGGGTCTAATGCATCAAAATAAAGGAAATAAGGGGAAGAGAAGTAGTCCATTTGAATTAGGAATGTAAATGTTGATACTGACCTTGTAGAGAGAGTAATTTGAGTAGAATGATCCGGCAGGAGCAATGTTGCGTGGCATAGATGCTAAGTTAGAAGTGGGGAACAACTCAAGTAGTTTGGTGGTGGAAGAGAAGATAGATTGATTGCTCAATGTGGATTTAGGGTCATAGTAAGATGGAAGGGCTGGCTCCCATTTCATTATTTTTGAGCTGAAGCCAGTGCAGTGAGAGGTTGGAGATGCAGAAGGGACCTTTGATTCAGTAGAAGGAGGTGAGAGGATTTGGGGTTCTAGAACACACATGGAAAGATTAGTCTTAGGGAGACCTCTCTTCTCTTACGACAAAAATAAAGGACGGGTGTAAATAAAATCAACTTGTGTTGTTATTTGTATTGTTATATTGAGATAGGCTCTTAATGAAGTTGATGATGAAGAAGGAACTGTTATTAGCCAGTCAGAAGAAAGCGAGAATGAGTTTGATAACTCCCTAAACTCTCAGTCTAACACGAACACAGAAAGGTATGTATTTATGACATAAGTATTTATAACTTGTGACTTTTTTCCCCAAGGCCATTTCTGATGTTCATTATTTACTTCATGTTATTATTAACAGGAAGTATTATTTATTCCAAATTTTTATATGATTTTTTGAAAGCTGTGAGAACACTACAAAATGCTCCTATATACTCATCACTAGAATTCAGCAATCTACCTTTGTTTTATTGTTTTCTTTTTTTTTTTCCGTGTATTTACACAGAAACATACATGCACATTTTGAAAGAACCATTGGGAGTAAGCTGTATACCTTATCCTTAAATACTTCAGAACAAAACTTGAGAACAGAAGTGTTGACTAGGAACAAGAGATTCCTTTGTACAGTTACCACAGTCAGGAAATTACATTGGCTCAATACTGTCATCTAATCTGTAGGACAAACTGAGGTTTCTGCAATTGTCTTAGTAATGTTATTTGTGGTATTTTATATGATTGAAGAACCAGTCACAGTCAGCTACTGTTTTTAGTTTTCAGGTCTGTGTCTTTTTAGAACTTTGGAATTAGTGTTTATCTGTTGCATTACTTTGCTTTTTAGCTTTGGAGAAGTGCACAGAAGTTATTTTGGAGTTTTTTTTCTAGTTTATCTTATTTATTATTAGATTCAGGTTGTACATTTTGAGGAAGAGAAACTCAGTGGTGATTGTATCATGAGGTGATGATGTCATTGGTGCACATTGACGCTGTTAGTTTTGGTTGGTTAAAGTGAGGATGTCTGCTGGGTATTCTCAATGGATTATAACCTATTTTAATTTATCTTAATGTTCTTCTGCCCTGTGAAAGTTCCTTGAAGTCGCTCTTGCGTGTTTTTGATGTGTCTTTTCTATAAGGTTTGTTTGATATAGCTACCCTTCTATCCTTCTCTACATTCTACTCTACCTTCTTTTTCTCTGGAATCAACCATTTCTTCAAGAAGCTCTGGTTGATTTTATGGCAAAGAGGATGTTTTGAAACCAAGATTTAGGTATTAAGTGTGTTTATTGTAGCTGAAAGTCATTGCTTTTTAGAATTCTTCAGCAAACACATGTTCGCGTAGACGTGTATACCTATACGCATATGCTTTTGCATATTTTCTTAATATAGCTGTAAATCATAAGTTTACACTGATACTATTGAAGCCGCTTCAGCACTGCTGGAATTTGCTTAGCCTTCTCTTAGTCCACGTTGTGTCCCTCCCCTTTAATGCTGAGAAGCATGCCTCTAAACATTACACCACGCTTTTACTCAGAGTCAGTCCTGCAATATATGGAAAGTAACTTTGGAATTGCTACTCCCATACTGCTGCAGAAATTGTTTGCAGTTTTTAAAGGTTATTCTGTTCATTTAAAATATAATTCGATTACTTTGTTCCTCCTTGTAACCAATTTTAAATTTTTCCTTTCCACTCTTTTGACAAAGTTTTGCAGTTTGTTTTCAGAATAGTGTCATCTGTCTCCTATCTCTTTCTAACCAGCTCCCTTTCATTATGATCTTTACAGGTAACTCATTAAATTAGTTTTTGCTTTACTCTTCCTGTATTTCTTTTCATACATGTAAGCGGGTACCTTTATATTTTATTTTCTTTTAATATAAGATATACCATCTGTATTTATTTTATCACTTAAAAGTATATCTTGGAAATCATCCCACAGCTTCTGTAAGTTTATTTTCCTTCATTTGTAAGCAAAATGAGACATGTGCATCAGTGTTAATTTGTGAACATATCATGATTTATTTGTTGCAATTATGAAACTGCCACAGTGAAAACTCTGTGTACACACATGTATTTTTGCATTACGAGCAATCAATATTTAGGGTAGATTGCAAGTGGAAAAGTTTTTATTTTAAAAAGTAAGTAACTGAATTCTGCTATGTGAAAGTGTTATATTTTGTATTCTCACTGGCTAATGTCTGGGCATCAGGCTTTACAATTTTTGCTAATGATTTTATAGGTGAGAAATGATATCTCTAAGTAGTTTTACTTTTCATTTTTCCCCAAATTATATTGAGTATCTTTTTATATATTTGTTGTGAGTTGACAGATTCTGTCCCAAAAATGAGTCAGGAGGCACTTTTAAAAGCTCAAGAGTCTTTGTTCACTAGCTGGTGGACTGTCCCATATCACTATAAGGGAAAGAGGGGCCGATGTCAGGGGTTCTTAAGCTCACACTAGCATGATGAACTATGCAATGAAGTAAGTTGGGCCCAGCACAGTCGCCTAGTGACTAAAGTATTCACCTTCACCTTACATGTGCCGGGATCCCATAAGGGTGCCTGCTCTAATTGTGGCTGTTCTGCTTCCCCTGCATCTTCCTGCTTGTGGCCTGGGAGAGCAGAGCAGGATGGCCCAAAGCTTTGGGACCCTGCACCCACGTGGAAGACCTGGGGGAGGCTTCTGCCTCCTGGCTTCAGATGGGCCCAATTCTAGCCATTGTGGCCCTTGGGGAGTGAACTGTTGGTTGGAAGAACTTTCTCTCTGTCTCTCCTCTCTGTATATCTGCCCTTTCAATAATAATAATAAGTAAATCTTAAAAAAAAAACAAACCAAAAATCTAAGTTAACATTGAGCACAAAAGACTGTCCAGTGCACTAGGCTGACACTGGTGCAATATAATGAAGGAGGAACTGTCAGGAATTTTTGCCTTCTTTGGATGCCAGGAAACACTCAAGCTCTGAAGCGACCAACTAAAGGAAGGGATAGAGGCACAAAAGGCTTGTGTTTTGGCCTGAGCTGTCAGGAGAAACTTTGTAGCTGAGTGCCAATCTGAGGATAAGGAGGAAGCTCCACTAGGAGAACATTAATTACGTTCCTGTGTCTCTGTCATCTCTGTTGCTCTCTGGGAGGCTCTTGTCAAACAGGATGTGACTTTCAGAGGCTCTGCTGGACAAAGAAAAGAGCCCATTTCAGAATGAGATATACACTCTCACCCTTGCAGGGGACTCCCTGGAGCTTGAGGTCATGTCAAGACTCAAGTTATGAACGTGTCAGAATATTTTAGGGTGTCCAGTTTTGCTGTCACCATATTCTGCTGCCTGGGCTGCCGGAATATTAGGAGAATTAACAAGGAATGCCTCTTCAGTCTTTGGCCACTTTTCTTGTTTTCTTAATATATGTATGATCTATATTTAAGGGGATTAGCCTCTTTTGATGTAAGTATTTTTATGTGGTCTGATGTTATAATACAGCAACTAAGCTGCTGCTGACTATGCTAGCAACCCACATCAGAGTGCTGATGTGAGTCCTTACTGCTGTGTCTCATGCAGCTCCCTGCTAATGGGCCCTGGGAATGCAGCAAGTGATGCCCACCCACATGGGCTGCCTGAATGGAGTTCCAGTCCCCTGGCTTTGACATGGCATGGCCCTGGCTGATGTATAATGTGTTTTGTATTATAATATGTACAATGTATTATGTTTTTCCCCAGTATTTTTAATTTATTTTTGAATTTTTTAATAAATGGACTATTATTTAATCAAACAAAATATGATTGAATTTATCATTTTCCTTTTGAGTGTAAACCTTGAATCATACCCTGAAATCCTTTCTCAAAACCCAGGTTTTTAGTACTCAGGTGTTGTTACAAATTATCTCAGTGCCATTTGTTAAAAAAAGCATCCTCGCGCCGCTGACTTGAGATGCAAACATTGCTGCATGCTAAATTTCTGTATGCGTTTCTAGTTACTGGCTTTGTCTTGATACTGTTGCGCCAATACTACACTGTGTCAATTAGAGAGGATTTAGAGTGTTTTAACAGACTCCCTCATAGCTTTTTATTCATTCTCTTAGTGATGTCTTACATATTTATTTTTTTTTTGCAGAAACTTTAGAATTAATTTGTTTAGCATACTAAAAAAACTTGCTGGTTTGTTTTTGATAGAACATGTCGTTAGATGAACTGGGGAGAACTGACCTCACAATGTTGAATTTTACTAAGAACAGTGTATTTTTCTATTTGTTAAAAATTTACTGTTTTGTTTTTGATGGGGATTTAAATATTTTTTTATCATTAATGGTGTTTATTTCTTACTAATTTTATTCAGTATTTCATATTTCAATTGAGAAGTTTTCCATTATTTGTTATAACTAATTATTGTTTTTGTTTATGAATGTTATTGCTCTTTCTTGCTATTCTGCTATTTTATTGAGTCTTAGTTAGGGTAGTATTTTGTTTTTCAAGTTTATTTTAATTGGAAAAGCAGATTTACGTAGAGAAGTAGAAACAGAGAGAAAGATCTTCCATCTGCTGCTTCACGCCCCAAATTGCCTCCAGGATTGGAGCTGAGCCAATCCAAAGCCAGGAGCCAGGAGCTTCTTCCAGGTCCCCCACATGGATGCAAAGGTCCCAAGTTTTGGGCCATCCTCCTCTGCTTTTCCAGGCCATAAGCAGGGAGCTGGATAGAAAGTAGAGCAATGTCCATATGAGATGCCAGTGTTTGAAGGTGGGAGACTAGCCAATTGAGCCAATGCACCAGGCCCAGTGGGTTAGTTCTTTTTTTTTTTAAGATTTATTTTATTTTTATTGCAAAGTCAGATATACATAGAGGAGGAGAGACAGATGAAGATCTTCTGTCCGATGGTTCACTCCCCAAGTGACCGCAATGGCTGGTGCTGCGCCAATCTGAATCCGGGAGCCAGGAGCTCTTCTGGGTCTCCCATGTGGGTGCAGGGCCCCAAGGCTTTGGGCCATCCTCAAATGCTTTCCCAGTCCACAAGCAGGGAGCTGGATGGGAAGTGGAGCTGCCGGTATTAGAACTCGCACCCATATGGGATCCTGGTGCATTCAAGATGAGGACTTTAGCCGCTAGGTCATTGTGCTGGGCCCAGTGGGTTAGTTTTAACATTAATTTTTTTCTGGGTCTGCTATTATGTCATATGCAAATGAACATAGTTTTATTTCTTCCTACATCACATGTCTCTAACTGGTTTCTTTTGTGTTGTTGTATAGGCTATAAAACAGTATTAAAAATAGAGAAAATAGGGGTTGGCGTAGTGGTGCCGCAGGCTAATCCTCTGTCCTGTGGAACTAGCATCCTATATGAGCTCCAGTTCATGTTCTAGCTGCTCCACTTCTGATCCAGCTCTCTGCTTATGGCCTGAGAAAGCAGCAAAGGATGCTTCAAGTCCTTGGAAGCCTGCATACATGTAGGAGGCTGGGAAGAAGCTCCTGCCTCTCAGCTTTGGATGAGCTCAGCTGTGGCCGTTGTGAAGCAATGGATACAAAACCGTCTATCTTCTTTCTGTGTGAATCTGCCTTTCCAATAATAGTAGAATAAATCATAAAGAGAGAGAAAAGAGTAGATATGCTTTCCTTTTTCTTAATCTTGGAAAATGCTTCTGTTGTTTAAGAGGGGGAGACAGCAAGCTCCCATCTCCTGATTTCACTGTCTAAAGGACCAGAGCAGCTGAGGCTAGATCCAATTGGAACTGAGAACTAGGACCTTAAGCTATATTCTCCCACCTGGGTGAAAGGAACTTGGTTCTGAGTCATTATCTGCTAGCTGCCAGCTTAGGGATGGCTTTAAACATCTAGGCTCTTTTATCATTCACCTAAAAATCCTTCCGGTCTTTAATTACTGTTCAGTTCCAAAACAATTTCCACTGTTTTAGGTATTTATTCCTATACTAACATGACATACGTAGACACTAGAATTTGTGTTAGTTTTCTAAGGATGTTGTAACAAATCAATATAAACTTGATGGTTTAATACAAGATATTGATTCTCTTAAAGTTCCAGAGGCTGAAAATCTGAAGTTAGTTTTACTACACTGAAATCAAAGTGTTGGGAGTGGCATATTCCCTGCAGAGTATCCAGAGGGAGAACCTGTTCCTTGCTGTTTCCACCTTCTGGTGGCTGTTGGCATTTTTTGGCTTGGCTGCATCACTCCAACCTCTGCCTCCATCTTTACATAATTTTCTCGCTTGCGTATATCTGTCTTTTGTGCATAAGATATGAATGATTTGCATTTACAGTCCTTCAGGATTATTTCTCCATCTCATGATCCTTAATTAGAGATGTAAAGTTCATTTTTAGACAGATAACATAGCAATCATAAGTTCTAGGGATTAGGCTATGGCTCTTTTTTTTTCTGCTTTGGATGATATTGTATTATTTTAAATGTTGCTGTTATTTCATATAACCTGACTCTTAAAAGTGTAAATCTTAGAGTCTGCAATGTGAGTTTCACACTGTTCAAGATTATTTTCCTAACCTGCATAGACATCTTTCTGTCTTAGAGCCATTGCTGTCATGTTTTGTAACTAGTCTCACTAGTCCCTTGGGTATATACTATGCTACTGTATTTTTACTCTGTGAAGATTTTAGCAGCTAGAGTTCTAACATGCTGTCCATAGGTTGATTGAGAGCAACTCTTTAGGTGGAGATCTGTGGCATCACTAAATAAGATCCCTCCTTTTTTGTAACAGTGTATCATTTTAGATTTCATGTTATCATAGTTTGTTTCCTTAAAATATAATAGTGTTTATAGCATATTCATAGAATCATGCAGTCATTATTGTCAGTTTTAGAATATTTTCATCATCTGAAAAAGAAATCCCCATCTTCTTCAGCTGTTAAATTTTGTTTTCTCCCAGACCTTTCAGCTCCAGTCAGAAACAAGGCTTGTTTCTGTCTCTATAGATTTGCCTACCCTGGACATTTCATATATATATAGATTATGCAGTATGTTATTTTTCACCTATAACATCTTCTACTTAGCATAGTGCTTTTAATATACATATACATTGTGTCATATATCAGTACTACATTATTTGTTATGACTGAAAAATATGTGACAGTATGGCTACACCAACCTATGCATTCATCAACAGGTAGTTACTAGCATCCTTTGGCACCCTAGCTCTTTTAAGTTCAGTTGAAATGAAAATGAATCATTGATCAAAATATTAGCTATAGGGCCTGGCTCAATTACCTAGTGACTAAATTCTCACGTTTTTTTTATCTGCTGGGATCCCATATGGGCACTGGTTCATATCCTTACTGTTCCACATCTCATCCATTTCTCTGCTTCTGGCCTGGAAAAGTAGTTGAGGATGACCCAAAGGCTTGGGACCCTACGCCTGCATGGGAGACCCAGAAGAGGCTCCTGGTTCCTGGCTTTGGATCAGCTCAGTTATGGCTGTTCAGTCTCATTTAGGGACTGAATCAGGGGATGGAAGATCTTTCCTCTCTGTATGTTAGCCCTCCAATAAAAAAATAAAAGCTTTAAAAAACTGTTAGCTATATTACTGATAAAGATATTTATAGTACAAGGCTTAGCTCTTTTTGTGAGTCCTAACCCCTAAACTCTAGCTGCTCTTCTCCCTCTGCCTCCTTGCCAACAGACCTCAGTGATACACATAGTCTGCTCTCTGGACAGGCTCCTTTGTAGGAGAGAGACACCAAAAGGGGCTGCAACATAGATGCCTAATAATTTTAGAGAAAAATAAGTTGTCAAAGAAAGAAAAAAACTTCAGAGAAAGAGGGAGGAGGATGGAGCCATACCATGAACCTCAGAAGGGGTTAAATGCTGCTCCCTTAGTGACTGTGGCAGGTAGGAGACTGGGAGGCAGAAGGAATGAGCCCTTCTCACTTAGGGTGACAGACATCTCAAGTTGGTATTTGTCTTTTCTGTTTAAGTAAAAAGGATTTTTCTTTGATTATGAATTACTTAAAATCCTGCAAATAATTAAAGAGTTTAGATGATAATACCTGTTATAATGTAGGTTATTGTCTCATAATTTATAGGTTTCTGCACCAACTAAAGGAAGAGAATTCTGAGTTAATTAATAAACTGTGGAATGATGTTCAGCAGAAATTGGCAGCACAGTCCCACATGGTAACCCCGCCAGGGACTCCGTCATCTGCTCTGTCATCAAACCAAAGAGGTTTGCTGTCCCTTTGCGTTATTCCTGGTAGCCTTCTTTATGGGGTTTTCTCTATAACACAGTAATTCTTAAGGGGATAGTATTTAAGATGTCTTATCATTAGCCTAATGGACTCAAATACTGACATGTCTGTCAGTTGTACTTTTGAAGGAAGCTGGTACACTTGAGATACTTTTGTAATGTTCTTCCCTTTAGCTGCTCTGAATGCTACCAATGCCGTCAAGAGAATCCAAACCAGGGTTCCATCCGAAGAATCTTCTGCGACTCTAGGCTCAGGCTACACTGTGGGACAAGTGCTGAATTCAAGAAAGCCAAAGCAGCTGTCACATAAAGGTTTAATTCTTTGACTTACAGAGATAAATTATTAATCATGTTACTTGATGCCACTCTCTTAATCTCTTGATAAATGTATTTTTCCTCAGGCTCTTCTAAGTTGGAGCCAAAACAAGTAGAGTTCATTGAATGGTAGCGAAGAAATGTCTCCAATCTCATTTAATTCTGGATAGATAGTTCTAGCACATTCACTATAGATTGTCTAAACTTAGTGTAAACTATATAGATTTTTCTGAGAAAAAATGATGTTAACTTCTGTAAAAGAATTTTATAAAAAACTGTCAAAAGATTTTTCTGGTTGTAATTTTCCTGGTCTTGAAATAAAATTACTTCTGTCATTGTCAGTGAAAAGAAAACCAGATTTGCATACTCCTTCCAAGCAAAAGAATGTGTCAGCTAGCACAACCTCTGCAGACTTACCCAGCAGCAGTAATTCCAGCCTGGATGTTCTCAAACACATGATACATGAGGTGGAGCATGAAATGGAAGAATACGAGAGGTGGACGGGGCGTGAGGTCAAGGGCCTGCAGAGTGGGCAGGGGCTCACAGGCTTCACCTTGTCGCTGGTGAGCTCTCTCTGTCGTCTGGTTCGATACCTGAAAGAGGTAAGAGCAGGAGGATATGAGCACTTTCATTTAGGGAAAAATGTGAGTTGAATTTTTTCTTCCCTGCTTAATTTATCGAAGCCTCCAAATAAAGTACAATGGTGGGCATTGTGGGGCAGCAGGTTCAGCTGCCACTTAGGATTCTTTGTATTGCAGTGGCTGGAATCATTTCCTGCCTCTGTTTCCCATCTGTCTAGTACTATTATGCCTGGAAAGCAGCAGATGAAGACCCAAGTACTTGGGTTCCTATCATCCATGTAGGAGACCTGGATAAAGTTCTTGGCTCCTGGATTTGGCCTAGCCCAACCTCAGCTGTTGAATACAGCTGGTGAGTAAACCAGTGAATGAAAGATGCCTCTGTCTTTGTCTCTGCTCTTTAGATAAATAAAACCTAAAAAGACTCAGGCCATGGTCAGCATTTATTCATTTATTCATTATTCGTTATTCATTAACTTGTTATTAATTGTTACTTAAAAACAGGTTATTTTTCTCTGTTTCCTATTCCTATGTTAGTTAAAAAGACTTAATAGAAAACTTCCTCAAGTTTTATTTAAGATTTATGTATTTGAAAGACAGAGTGACAGAGGAAAAGGGAAACATACACAAAGAGATAGTCCATCTGTTTTTTCACTCACCAAATGGCTGCAGTGGCCAGGCTATGGACAGGAGCCAGCAGTTCCGTCTGGGGTCTCATGGTTGTGGCAATGGCCCAAGCAGTAGAACCGTCTTCCACTGCTTTCCGAGGTACATTTGTAGGGAGCTGGCTTGGTGCTCCAAAATGGGATGCTGGCATCGCAGGTGGTAGTTTAAGTTGCTGCACCACTAGCTTCCATGTTTTCTATGTAGCATGAGTTATACTTTTAGTGGGTGTTGTCTGAGGTATTGTTTAAATGGGTATAAAGCAAGGAGGAACTGTTTGTTTGCAAATAACAGTCCTCAAAATTCTATAATATTACAGTTAGCCATGCATTTCATAATTTTAAAAAGTTCCTTTAACTATTACTTATTTATATATTAATCTGTGAATGAAACAAAATTTATATTAGTTAATGTGTGGATTTACCTACCGCTCTAATTCAGTTGTTTTTATTTCTCTAATGCCATTTTTTATGGTTTTTTGTTTGTTTTACTTACTTTTTAATGAAAGATTCTTAGTTGTCAGACTCACTAAAGTCTTAGCATTTTTCTCCTTTAAGTCAGGAATTTTCAGGATTATGTTCTTGGCTTTTAGAAATTGGCATAGGTCTGGAAGCATGTACTATGTAGATAATTATTTGTTTTATAAAGCTAAATCATTTAAATCAGTAGTCATCTATTTTAGTTATGTTTTGCCAAGATTCAGATTTGAATTAGTGATGAAATCACATGTTTTGAAATTCAAAGATACATAAAGACGTAGGATGCCCCAAACATCCAGCTAACCTGTTTGTTTTCTGATAGCCAAGCCCCATCGCCAGGTACCAGTGTGTCCTTCTTGAAGTTGTCTGTCTCTATTCAAATGCTGTCATTTGCAAAAATGTAGTTATTTCATTCAATATGGTATTAGTTCATTATATCTTACTTAGAGAAGGGACAGGACACTACATTTTCTTTAATTAGATACAATAAGACTTTGTTAAATTTAAATTTTTTGTTACTGTCATATAACATATGCTTCTTTGAAAATATCTTTAACTGCTTTAAGTAGGAACATTTAAGTTTTCAGCATGTGATGTTTATGTTTTTTATTTATTCATTTTTAGAGTGAACTTCAACTTCGTAAAGAAGTAGAGACAAGGCAGCAACTAGAGAAAGTATTAGGTGATCATCGAGAGCTCATTGATGCTCTAACATCTGAAATTCTTCTTCTTAGAGAAGCAAATACTACTATACAGGTATTCAGATCAGATTCCATATTTGTCTGCGTTTATTAGTTTAAATGTCCCTTGCAGTTGCCTTCGGGTTAGCTGTGTAATGTGATTATTTATCAACCTTGTTGTCATCATCAGTGGCAGCTGTTACTGAATAGGTATCCTATAGGAATATTATTGTCCTAGACGCTTGGACTACAACTAGTAAATGGAATAAGTCTGCTGTCTTTAAGAAATGTGGCACTTAAAAAGGCTGTATTTAAGTGATAACTACTGCTATTATTACTGCTCATCTAAAATGTGAAGTCAGTGTTTTGATAGTCTCTTTGAATTTCAAACAGCAGAGCACAGTCTAAAAGCCCCCCTTCAGTCACATCAGATGTCATTTACAGTGTTGCAATATCTTCATATTTGTTACATAAGTTCTCTTGGCCATTTGGCCAACTGCTTGGCTTTAAAAGAGTGTGTATGATATCTCTCCTAGGAAATTAATTATTCTTCCTTTGGACACTTATGGTACTTCAGCTATTGCTCCCATTGCGTTTACCAAACAGTGTCACATTAAATATGTGTTTGTGGATGAGACTATGATGAACTGTGTGAGTTTGAAGGCTGTTTTATTCATCTTTTTGTTCTTATGAGGTGGTTATATTTTATTTATCAGTTGGAAAACACTAGAATAACAATACAAACATTGTGTTTTTGTCAATAGACTTTAGTTGTAAGATATTTTTAAAACTTGATAAGAATAGCAAATTAACATATCATTAAGTCTACCCTTTCAAATGTGTATAGTTCAGTGTTTTATAAACATTGATAGAATTGTGTGTCAGTACCACTATCTAAGCCCAGAACATTTTCATCATCCCCAAAGAGAAACCTCCCACCATTAGAAGTAATTTTATACTGTACCCCTCTTCCTGGTCGAAATCTGTGTGGGTTTGACAGGGTCTCTCCTAGTGTCTGGGTTTAAGTCTGCTAATAGGCCCTGAGTTTGTCCATAAGAACCACTGGAGACAAGCTGGTGAGGAATGTCTGCTTTATTACGCACATGTTAGAGCTTTTAAAGGGTAAGAAAGGGGAGGACAGGAGGACATCTTCCAGCAGACCCCACCCACCAACTATATGACCCATCTATTTTCCTTGACCTTCCAGTCATGTCAGAGGTCATGTTCCACCTGTATTCCCCTTGACCTTCTAGTCACATTAGAGGTCACACTGCATGGGTAGGCCTGGAAGCTGTGCCTCAGGCCATGGGGAGGTAAGCTCTAATCTGTGCCCACATTCTAGAAATGGAATCAGTCAGTATGTAGTCTTTTACATCTTGCTTCTTGCACTTAGCATATTTTTAGCATTCATCTGTGCTGTTGCACATATCAGTACTTCATTCCTTTGTATTGCCCAACAATATTTCATTATATACTTGTATCACCTTTATCCATTTGTTAATTGATGAGTATTTAACTTATTTCCACTTTTTGTCTGTTGTGAGCACTCATAATACACATTTTCACATGTGTTTTCAATTCTCCTTGGAAGGTAGGCAGTTTTAAAATGTCTTAATTTACGGAACAAATCCTTTGAGCAACTATTGTGATCCTGCGCTCTGCTGTAGATAGCAGAATCAGTAGTGGACAAAATATAGAAATCCTTGTTTTCAAAGAGCTTCTGTTCTAAATAAATCTTACAAAGAGAAGTATGTGGTAAGTGAAAGGATAATACATAATTTGAAGAAAAATAAGAGTCATAGGAAGCCCATATGGAGGGAGATAACAGTTTTTAAATGGGTTGGGCTGTGCCTGCACAAGTGCCATGTGAGGAAAGACATAGAAGAGCTGAGGGAGTAAACCTGCAGGTAGCTAAAAGAAGAGCAGTTTAAGCATAGAAACTGTTGTGCCTAATTTTGAGGTACCCAGAAGTCACCAGCAATCTGCAGTTGATCCAAGTGCACAAGGATGGTTTATTCAAGCTCTGCATGTCCGAGCTTGGGTTCTTGGTTGAGAGCAGGCAGCTGGCAGACCAGACCAACTGGCCAGCCAACCAGCTGGGACCAACACCCCCGAACAGCACATTTTATAGGGACAGTCCACAATAGCTTGGAAAGGGGTGATTCACAATAGCCTGCAAGGTAAGGGGAAATACCACACATTCCCTACCTATCTCAGCTGGACAGCCCATGCCTCCAGCAACTAAGGTAAGCACTCACTTAATTATTTGGAGCCATTTGTGTGATAACTAGACTTAGGTAGGTTTTGATTCATGAGAATTGGGGCCTATACGTGCTAAAGGTCATGTAGGCTACTAAAGGTCACATAGGCCATTTGGCCTGCAGGCTCACACAGTTTCTTAGAAGCAATGAGCCATGAACAAATGGTTGGGATTTTGATACTGAGGTTCTTTAAAAGATAAGTGCCAAACTTTCAAGGTGGGATTGTGGTTATTTAACTCAAGGTCATCAAGGGCACTGGTGAGGCAGGAGCAGAAGCTGGGAAGGAGAAAGCAGTGGGAGACAGTATTGGATTAGCCGAATGCTAGGAAGCTTTACCTGCTGGTGGAAGGTATGGGCTTTTTCACTGAACAAGGTGGGAAACCACTGTGTTTAGAAGGCTTCCTCTGACTTAGGTTTTAAGAGGGTCACATGGAGCTACTCTTTTGAGACGAGGTCAGCAATTACTGCCCTTTCTTGGGTTACAGTTGCCTTAGTGTCTCACATTATATCCTCAAGGCAGAAGAAATACTCAATGATTTATTAAGTAGGCAGGCCCAAGAAACTTCTGACTTAACAACCTAAGAACTTTTTATGAGAAAATACATATGAATTGAAAGAAAAAGTATTATTTTTATTTCATTCTTTTAAAAAAAATCACTTATTTTCATTAGAAAGGCAGACTTTTATAGAGGAGAGACAGAAGTCTTCTATTCACTGTTTCACTCCCCAAATGTACAAATGTACACAGCGACCATAGCTAAGCTAGTCTGAAGCCAGGAGCCTGGAAAAACTTCTGGGTCTCCAAAGTGAGTGTAGTGGCCCAAGGAGTTGATCCATCCTCCACTGTTTTCTCAGGGAAATGGATGGGAAGTAGAGCAGCCAGGACAGGAACTGCCACCTCTTTGGGATGCCAGCACTGTAGGCAGCAGATTAGTCTGATGTGCCACCACACCAACCCCTACTTTGTTCTTAACTTACCAATATTTACTAATGGAGGTTATGTTTGCCTTTTGGAAAGCTGCACAATGTTTCAGTTTAGAATATATTGGACGCCATCTCTGTTGCTTCCTCTTCTACATCAATTTCATCTGGATTTCATTTATTTATTTATTTTAGCATAGCATAAATCAGCCATGAGAAAATTTGACATTGTCAAAAAGAATTGAAGGCATCCTAATGTTAAAATTGTGAACTGCCTTGTGATAATAGTTCATGAGTGGTCTGGTAGATGACAGCATCCCTGTTTAACTGTCCTCTGGCATCCTTTGGTGCCCTTACCAGTGGGAAACATGATAGTAGATGGCGAAACACAGAAACAGAGTATCACACATAGGAATTATTGGAATCATTCAGGTGACTTGTAGCAGTTTGATCTAAGCTTGAAGAAGGGACACAATCAAATTCTGAATGTATTTTGAAGGCCAATAAAGCCCGTGATATGGAGTGGAGAGATGATGAGAGGAGTCAACAACAATTCCTGAGTTTTAGAAGGAGCCACAGTTGAAAGAAAAGAAGCTATTTTTGAGGTGGAGCAGGATACAGAAAGGATTTGGTTTTGTACATCTAAAGTTGAAAATCTGAGTTCCAGATACTGGATATGTGAGTGTAAAATTTGGTAACTATTTTGGGCTGGTGATGTAATAATGTTTAGCATACTTGATTAGCAGCACAATTATTAATGTTTCTCATGTTTGGATACACTGAGTTTTACCAGATGTCTGTATTTCTAAGCATATTTGAGATATACAGATAGAGTTGCTTGTATATGAGTTTATTGTTAGCTGTCATCCTAGGCTTCTCTTTGTGTTGCAAAATATCAGCAGTTCTTAAGAATTTTGCTGCGTCACCTCATACATAGGCCAGGACGGAGTGGGTAGACTTTTGGCTGAGTGAGGGCCCAGCAGTCGCTGGCATGTATGTGATTTGGGTCTGGGGTTGGTCCTGGTTAGGGAACCAGGGCTGGGCCATCCCAGTATGGGTTATTGACGGTCGCTTTGACTGGGCTTCAGCCCCCAGTGGTGTACAAGAGGACTGACTGGAAGGCAGGGTTGGGCTGTGTAAGAAATGAGGCTGGAGATAGATCTGACCTAGCAATTGCAATTAGCAGTGTGGATGTGGGCTGATATGGGTGACAGAATGAAATGGACCCTGTATAGATGGGTGCACACACAAGAAATAGGTCTGAGATCACCTCAGACAAGATTTCTTTTATTTCGTCCTTGCAGCTGTGAGATCGACAGCATTTCAGAACCATCAAAACCACGTGGGTTCACGCGGTGGCCTAGAGGTTAAAGTCCTCATCTTGAACTTGCCGGGATCCCATATGGGCACTGATTTTAATTCCAGCAGCCCTGCTTCCCACCCAGCTCCCTGCTTATGGCCTGGGAAAGTAGCCAAGGATAGCTCAAAGCCTTGGGACCCTACAGCCATGCAGAAGACTTGGAAGACGCTTCAGGCTCCTGGCTTTGGATTGGCTCAGCTCAGTCTGTTGTGGCCACTTGGGGAGTGAATCATGGGACAGAAGATCTCTCTGTCTCTCCTCCTCTCTGTATATCTGACTTTGTGATAAAAATTAAAAAAAAAAAAATCTTAAAAAAAAATAAAAGAATAAAATGACTTAAGCAAAACTCTTGGAGCATGGTCCACATAGGGGACCTTGAGATGACATTAGGTGGCCATTCTTCATTCCCAGATGCTGAGGCAATTGGGAGGCTGGGTGTGGCTTCTCCCTTTATTTCTCCCCTTCCCCCACATATAGGAAGATGGAAAAGAAAATGTGGAAAAAATGATCTCACTTACTTTCCCCTGATCCTGGACCCTTCCCACCCTAATCAACTATGTAAGCATAATCGAAAATAAAATAAAAAAGTTTGCTGGTGGGTAAGTGTTTGGTCTAGCAAATAAGAAAAGATTGTCTGCATCCATGTTGGATATCTGGCTGCAGCTTTTTTACTAAGGTGAATTTTGGGAAGCAGCAGTGATGACTCCTGCCATGTGGGGGAATTGGATTGAGTTCTTGGCTCCTGGCTTCATGTTTGGGTCCAGATGTGGCTGTTACAGATATTGGGCAGTGAGCCATTTGACGGGAGCCCCATCCCTCCTGGCTCCTCTTCTCTCTCACAGTCTCTCAGCTTTTTTTTAAAAAGAGCTCTCATTCCTTGTATTTGTCATATTCTCTGCTTCTAAGAACCATCTTTACAAAACATATGTATTTCCATCAGAAAGGCATACCTACAGAGAGAAGGACAGAGAGAAGGATCTTCCTTTGCTAGCTCACTTTCCACATGGCTGCAATGGCTGGAGTGGAGCCATTCTGAAGCCAGGAGCTTCTTCGAGGTTGTCCATGTGGATGCAGGGTCCCAAGACTTGGGACATCCTCTGCTGCTTTAAACAGGGAGCTGGATGGGAAATGGAGCAGCTGGGAGATGAACCAGTACTCGTATGGGATGCCGGTGCTTGGAGGTGGAGGCTTGTGCCTGCCCTCTGAAAGCCGTTTGTTTAAACCAGTACTTAAAGATGTGTAATTTCGGGGCCCCGGCGCGGTGGCGCAAGTGGTTAAAGGTCCTCGCCTTGCACGCCCGGGATCCCATATGGGTGCCGGTTCTAATCCCGGCAGCCCCGCTTCCCTTCCAGCTCCCTGCCTGTGGCCTGGGAAAGCAGTCAAGCACGGCCCAAAGCTTTGGGAACCAGCACCCGCGTGGGAGACCCGGAAGAGGCTCCTGGCTTCGGACCGGCATAGTAGATGGAAGATCTTCCTCTCTGTCTCTCCTCTCTGTATATCTGCCTTTCCAATGAAAAAATAATAAAAATAAATCTTTAAAAAAAAAAAGATGTGTAATTTCAAACCTGATGTTTTCAGATGACCTACTTACATTTTTGACATGGAAAAAAATTAAGGACAAAACAAATTTAACTGAATTTCTTGGCCATTCAGACGACTTATAAATGTAATGGAATTCCAAGCAATGAACACATTCAGCTTGCGAAAAATAAGTCAGAGGGAGTTGTAGGATATGAATGATCTTTTAAGTAAAAGAAGACTTTAAATAATATTAAAATTTATGTATGAGATGTATGCATATACATAGACATAGGAAAAAGAGATGTATGCCTTTATAGTGTCATCTCTTCACACGTGTATATAAAGCATGGAATTTTAATCATCTTGCTTGTGGGATTTTGTGCTCATCTCTTTTAACATTCTTTTGGATAAATTCCTGTAAGTCTTTACAGTGTATGTGTTTGTCAGTTTAATTGCTTGTGTAATATTCTGTTGAATCATCTCTGTATTTGTATATGAAGAAATTTTGTAAATTGAAAACTATGAAACATTAATTCTTACTGTTATATTAGGACATCTGGTAATAGTCCATTATTAGTCTTTTCCTAAGTCTGAGATTTTTAGGATATTTACAGTATGAATATCATTTTAGAATTTGAGTGAAAACCTCAAGTTGCTAGAATATTTAAGAGATTGGTATTACACTCACCATATCTTTTGTAAAATTTGCTTCCTAAGTGATAATTTGATGTTTGATATGCTGGTAGTATGGTTTCATTTCTTTCCTTCCTTAGGCCAGACTTCAGCAGTACATGGTGTCTACTGACGAGCAACTTATATCACTCACACAAGCCATTAAGAGCTGTCCTGTGATTAATAACAGCAGACAAGAAAGTCAGGCAGCAGAAGGGAGAGCCACAAGTAGTATTACGGACAGTCCAGGTAAATGTAGTTTTATGCCAGACTTCATTAAGCTTCTTAATGGTCTTGAGGAAACGTCGCCAAATTTTAAACTTTTAAATGTACATGGCACCACTGACTGTTTAAGCATATACTACAGTGGTTCCTGCTTTTGTCAGCACTTGCTCTGTGCAAGATACTCTTTAACCTTCAATGCATTATCTCCATTAATCCTCAGAGTAATCTCATGGTATAGGCATTATTATTATTCCCTATTACTTAGATGAGCCAACAAATTGGGAGAGCACTCATAGCTAGTAAAGTCACAAGCAAAGAAAGTAGTAGACTTAGGTGCCAGCACTTTGAATCGTGAAACTAGGTAGAGGATAGATGGTTGTGTATAGGGGAAAAAATTGTGTTAGAAATTTGTAACCTTTTTTTCTGATGTGATACTTTGGGATCCTTTCTTTTAAAGAAGTAATTTTTTTCTTTTTAGTTTGAAAGATTTACAGAGAGGGAAGGAGAAATATATAGAGAGACAGATCTTCCATCCATTGATTCATTCCCCAAATGGCTGCAATGACTGGAGCTGGACTAGTTCAAAGCCATGGGCCTGGAACTTCTTTTGGGTCTCCCACATGTGTGCCGAGGTCCAAGTACTTTGGCTATCTTCTACTGCTTTCTTAGGAACACTGGCAGGGAGCTGGATCAGAAGTGGAGCAGCCAGGACTCAAACCAGCACCTATATGGGATGGCAGCATCACAGGCAGACATTTAACCTACTGTGCCATGGCACTAGTCCCTTGGAATCCTTTCTTTGCTTAATGTGCTATTGTAGGCTATATGCTGAGTGGGCAATTTTGGCTTTTTCTTATTTCTTTTAAATCTAGTAGGATTGTCTATGTGGAAAGTGCTTTGTGTAGTTATAATTGTTTTTGTGGGATAAATGGTAAGAAGCTGACTGAAGTTTAACTTCTGTAAATTAAATTCAATGGCCAGGGTAGGCTCTGTCTGCTAGTGGAGTGTTGCTGTTAAAACCTCAGTTGAGAGTATGTCAGTGTTTACTGAGTTTAAGTTTCATGTGGAGAAAGCTTTCAGTGTTGGATGAGAAGGCCTGAGAGTGACTGTCTAGTAGGATTATTATTACTTCTTACTATTGTTTGTTGGAAAAAAAAATGTTTAGGTAAGTGAAGCCAGCTTAACATCTTTCTTAGTCACAGCTCTTGCTACTCTTTGACAATAATATGGGGAGTGGACTGTAATGTGATGATGCATGATGGGTGAAGTCCCCTTTTAAAAATGATCCTTGTATATGAAGCCCTAACCCCAAACCCAGCCCTAATCCCAACCCCAGCATGTTCTGGTTTTACCATTTTGTTATTTGTCATGTCCATTAGGAATCTATCCATAGAAATTTAAAATTTCAAGTGCCAGGTAGGATATTTTAGGGGTCCTTAAGTGGCTACATGTTAATGGATTTCATGTTTTTAATGCTTTTCTCAAAAACAGCACTTTTTTTCCCAGTGCTGGCTGCTTTGGGAGCCTGTTGATAAATTACTGGTAGGGGAAGAATAACCTAGAAAGTGAAGACTCCTAGAAAACGAAGACACTGGGGCTGTGTGGAATTTGCACTGTGGGAAAACACACTTAGGAAGAAATGCCTGAAATGCTCCCGGTTCCCTTTGTGCCTTTTGTACTAATTTCTTCTTGTCATTTCCAGAGGCTCCAGCTGCAGATGCCAGTGTCTCTGTGCCGCTCACATTCAGAGGGGAAGAAGTGGCTGCATTTCCACAGGAAGAGATGCCTGTGAAGCTCTCTCAGGGGCCAGCCCTTCCAGAGAGTGCAAATCTGGGCAGCAATTTCCCAGCACGTGTTTTTGAGCCAGCTGTCTTATTAACGCCACCCCGCCAGAAGACTAACTCAGAATTCTCTCCTCTACAGGATGGTAAGCAGGCTTCTTCTAAAGTTATATGGATGGTTTAACATCTTCATTTGTGAATAAATTGTGTTCACTATTACCTATAAGACAGAATTGAAGAAGGTTTTGATTATTAAGCTAACATAACCTTTAACCTGAAGTAGGAATTTTCAGAGAGGTTTATGTTATGTATATTATGCTTATGGTGAAGTAGGGCCTTGAATTAATTTCATTAAATGTCTGTTTCAGTAAGTACTTCCATGCTTAAACTCAGAATAATAGGTCAGACTCCTTAGCATGAAGCTGTGGAATAAAGATAATCACTTGTCCCTAGGGTCTACCAGCATATGAAAGGGTGAGAGAGCAGATACTATACTGCATGGAAGAGTGAAAGTTAGACTAAGGAAAGATAATGATTGTGACTTAGGAGCATTTTATAAGTCACATATTATCATTGTATTAACTTCTTTCTCATCAAAAGTTTTGGTTTAGTCAGTTGAAGGAATTTTATAATAGAAATAACTGGACGATTTAAAACATAGCTGTAGGCTGCTTTTACAACCCACATCCAAGAGATTTTAATATAAATGTTAGCATTTTTTTGTTAATCCTTACATCAAAGATTTGTAATTTGAGGTACATTAGGAAAATTATATTGTTTGCTCAAATTTACGTTTTTGTCTGGAGCTATTGGTTTTATTTTTTACATTTATTTTATTTAGCTTTCATTTATTTTATTTACAAGTCTGAGTTACGGAAAGAGTGAGGAAGGCAGAGACAGAAAGTTTCTGTTTTCTGGTTTAGTCCCCAAGTGGCTGCAACATCCAAGGCTGGGCCAGACCAAGCCAGGAGTTTTTCCAGGTATCCTGTGGAGTCGCAGGGGTCAAAGGACTTGGGCCATCCTCCACTATGTTTCCAGGCACATAAACAGGGAGCTGGAGTAGAAGTGGAATAGTAGGGACTTAAACCAGTGCCCATATGGGATCTGGGCATTCTAATGGCTTTATTGGTATGCCATAACACTGGCCCTTCATTTCGTTTTCTCCTATTTTACTTCAAATAGTTGGAGATATAAAGAGACCAAGAGATCTTCCACTCATTGGTTCATTCCCCAAATGGCTGCAATGGCCAGACATGGGCTGGTCTTAAACTGGGAGCCAGGAGGTTTTTCTGGCTTTCCCACGTGGGTACAGGGACCCAAGATCTTGGACCATTCTTCTCTGCTTTCCTGGGCCATTAGCAGGTTGCTGAATTGGAACTGGAGCAGGCAGGACTCAAATCAGTACCATTATGGGATGCTGGCATTGCAGGTGGAGTTAGCATACTATGTGGCACTGCAGGCTGATTAGGCTGCTATACTATGGTGCTGGCCCTCTTATTTTGTAGGAGTTCTTAGGTCATTAAAAACTTAGAAACTAGTACGTTAGATTTCTCTTACAAAGTTTCTTTCTTTTTCTTTTTTTTTAAGGTATTTATTTTCATTGGAAAGGCAAATTTACACAGAGAAGCTAGAAGCCAGGAGCAGAAGGTTTTTTTTTGTTTTTTTTTTTTTGTTTGCTGGGATGGTTTTTTTGGCCCAGCAGTTAAGATGCCTATTGGGATGCTTGTGTTCCATATCAGAGCCTGAGGTTGAATCCTGGCTCTGCTTTTAATGTAGCTTCCTGCTAATGTGCAGCCTGAGAGGAAGCAGGTGATGATGGCCCCATTATTTGTGTTTCTGCCACCCATGTAAGAGACCCTAAATAAGTTCCAGGTTCATGGCCGGAAATGAAAGGTGAATTAATATCTGTCTCTGTGTCTTCTCACCCCCCCTCCCCCACCTTTTCTGCCTCTCCCTTTCTCCTGCTCTCTCCCCCCCCGCCATCTCTCTCTCTTTCTCTCTCCTCCCCCACCGTCTCTCTCTCTACAAATAAATAAATGAATAATAAAGTCATTCTTGAAGAAAAGTTTATATTTCTTTTTTTGAGATATTAGCTTTACATAGTTCTACACATTGTCCTTTATGAAAGAAGGGACTGAGATTCTCACTAAGACTTACCTGCCTTCTCGTTCTAATGTGGATAATTATATTTTTGTTTTTAATTCTCCTGCTTAATTTTCTCACCTTAAATGCTTTCCTTAATCTTCATTAACTTTAAACTCTTGGCTTTCCACTATGTAAGATGAGCTCCCCTTCTCTTTTTCTGCTTCTTTTGTTTTCATTTTCAACTGTATCTGTCCTTCTACATTATTAACTTTGATTGCCACCATAATGTACTGTTACCAAAGTTTGGTTTTCTGTGTCTGTTTGGACAATGAAAAGTGAAAACAAGGAATTATGAGTCCATTGTTGTTGCTATTCCTTGTGCCAAACAAGACGTTCTTGACATGACCATGAAGGAGAATCTTTATTTCAGCAGTTTTCATCTCCTTTTTGTTTAAGATTTATTTATTTACTTGAAAATAAGTATTCTCAAGTAAATAAATATATACTTGAAAAGCAGAATTAGAGATAGATGGAGAGATAGAGATCTTCTTTCTGCTGGTTTGCTTCCCAAATAGCCACAACAGCTGTGGCTGAGTCAGGTAGAGGCCAGGAGCCAGGAGCCTCATTTTGGTCTCCTATGTGGGTGCAGAGTCCAGGCACTTGGATTATCTGCTGGCAGCTGGATCAACCATTTTTTTTTAAAAGGTTTATTTATTTTTATTGTGAAGTCAGATATACAGAGAGAAGGAGAGACAGAGAGGAAGATTTTCTGTCTGTTGATTCACTCCCCAAGTGGCCACAATGACTGATGCTGCACCAGTCTAAAGCCAGGAGCCTGGAACCTCTTTCAGGTCTCCCAGATGGGGGCAGGGTCCCAAGGCTTTGGGCCGTCTTCCACTGCCTTCCCAGGCCATAAGCAGGGAGCTGGATGGGAAGAGTGGCGCACCAGGATAGAACTGGTGCACATATAGGATCCCGGCTTTTTCAGGGTGAGGACTTTAGCCACTAGGCCACGCTGCACCAGGCCCCAGGACAGAAACAGTTACCCATATGGGATGCTGGCATTGTGTGTGGGAATTTAGCCTATTATGTCACAATGCCAGCCCTGCTCACTGTCCTTCATTTTTTTTTTGTAATATGAGGGTACGTTAGAAAGTTATAGAAAATGAGAATTGCAAGATAAGTTTAGAGATAAGTGTTTTCTGAATGCTTGGATTCAACACCCAGCTCCAGTGGCTCCTAATTCCAGGTTTCTGCGAAGGTAGACTGAGCAGTATTGTTATGACTAGTGATTGGGTTCCCATCTCTCACAGGGGATACCCAGATTGAGATTTGGCTACCAGCTTTGGCCTTCTGGCTGTTGTAGGCATTGACTGAGTGTCTAAGTGGATTGGAGGTTTCCTTCTTTCTGTTTTGTTCCTTGTTTTTTAAACAAAATAAAGTTTTAAAATGATGAGTCTGTTATTGCAAAAACATTTCAAAATCATTGTATAGATGTTTCACATTACGTATTTTCCTTTAACTTTTTGAAGACCTTTATATTTATACTATAGCCATCTGGTTCATTTTTTGCCTTATCTGGACTTTTTTTTTTTTTTTAAGATTAATTGCTTTATTTATTTGAAAAGCAGAGTGTTAGAGAAAGAAGGAGAAACAGAAAAAAAATTTTGCCAAATAATCCCACAGATGACCACAGTATCTGGGGCTGGGTTGGATCCAATGGAAGCCAGGAACTTCATTTGGGCGCAGGAGCCTAAGCACCAGGGCCATCCACCACCCTCCCAGGTTCATTAATAGGGAGCTACATCAGAAATAAAGCAGCCAGAACCCTAACTGGCCCCTGTGTGAGATGCCAGCATCACAAGCAATGGCCTAACCCACTGCCATACAATGCCAGCCGTACCAGGACTTTCAAATAGCTTTTACCTTTTTATTGACACAAGAATAATAATGCTTTCACCATATCTTGAGGTCTTTGATCATTCCAGAGTTCTTCCAAAGCATGGATTTCAGAAATTGTTTGCACCAAAATACTTATCTTTTAATTCCACTTTCCAAAAATAATTTTTTAAAAAATACCCTCACACTGTTTGTGGCATGAGATTGGCTTTCATCTCAATGTCACCTTTCTCTAGACCTCCAGAGCTGCTCCAACCTTGACCAGTGCTCTTGGGAATGCTGTGCAACTCTCATCCCGATACTTGTTTCATTCCTCTCTGAGGGTGAATAAATGGTTTCCCTGGTTTCATTTTTAAATTGTGTCTTCTCTGTTTTCTGAAAGAAATAATCAGAAAGGGGTGTGGAAAGTAAAGGTACAGTTGTTATACACTTGAAAATGTTTTGAGACATTTCACCTGACTTTCACTAGTTGCTTCCCTGTGATATGTATGAAAGTACTTTAGAAGTTCATGGAAAAACGGAATTAAGAAATAGGTTATTGTGGGTAAGAAATTTGAGATTGGTCCATGCATACAAGGTATCTCGATGAAGTTTGTAGAAATATGTATTATGAAAATATAATGCAAGATTTTAAAATGTTTTTTTAAAAAAGTGTTTTATTTATTTGAAACACAGAGATTTCTCACTCGTTGGTTCACTGTCCAAATGTCTGTTAAGCCAGGCTGAGCCAGGTGGAAGCTATTCACTGAGGAATTGGTCTTGAGTCTCCCATGTGGGTGTCAGGAACCCAAGCGTTGAATCCTCATGTGTTGCCTTGAAGGTGTACGTTAGCAGGAAGTTGGAATTGGGAGTAGAGCCAGGGCTCAAACCCATTCTGGAATGCCAGCATTGCAAGTTGATGTTTTTTTTTTTTTTTTTTTAAAGATTTTTATTTTTTATTATTTTTTATTGGAAAGGCGGATATACAGAGAGGAGATACAGAGAGGAAGATCTTCCGTCCGATGATTCACTCCCCAAGTGAGCGACAACGGGCCGATACTATGCCGATCCGAAGCCAGGAGCCTCTTCTGGGTCTCCGACGCGGGTGCAGGGTCCCAAAGCTTTGGGCCGTCCTCAGCTGCTTTCCCAGGCCACAGGCAGGGAGCTGGAAGGGAAGTGAGGCTGCCGGGATTAGAACCGGCGCCCATATGGGATCCCGGGCGTGCAAGGCGAGGACCTAACCACTTGCGCCACCGCGCCGGGCCCGCAAGTTGATGTTTTAATCATTATATCAAATGCCCATTTCTCAAGATATGTTTTATTCTCTCTCCAGCTCACTGTTTTTTTTTAAGATTTATTTTTTATTTATTGGAAAGGCAGATATGCAGAGAGGAGGAGAGATAGAGAGGAAGATCTTCCGTCCAATGATTCACTCCCCAGGTGAGCGCAATGGCCGATGCCTATGCTATGCCGATCCAAAGCCAGGATCCAGGAACTTCTTTCGGGCATTCCACATGGGTGCAGGGTCCCAAGGCCTTGGGCCATCCTGGACTGCTTTCCCAGGCCACAAGCAGGGAGCTGGATGGGAAATGGAGCTGCTGGGATTAGAACCAACGCCCATATGGGATCCCAGCATGTTCAAGGCGAGGACTTTAGCCTCTAGGCCACGCTGCTGTCCCCTCCACCTCACTGTTAATGTGGTATTATTTGATTGTAAGATTTCTTGCTCTTCATGAAAGGGGACAAGATAAATATATGCCCCAGTCTGTGGTTTTGAACTAGAAGCATCTCTTCTCACAGTTCATTCCCAGTTAGGTCATTGCATCTAAGTCACATTTGTTGAGGTATCCAGTGACATTCATGTTACTTGATCCCCTGTATATTTTTGTCTCCTTATATTTCTAAGTCATGCAGTAGTGGTATACACAGCTAACTACTCCCTTTCTGTTTTCTTTATATCATCCTTGTAATGATTTTCTTATTTTTTTTGGCTGCTCCATTTCAGTCTGCTTTGTAGTTTCTCTCCTTTTAGTGTTGAGCTCCTTATGTCTTGACACTGGTTTCTTCGTTCACCATGTTCATTGTGTCCAGGTAATGTCAGTATTCTCTCGGCTTCTTGTACCTTCTAGATGCCGGAAACTTGCATTTTCATGTCATAGTCTGCATGTCTCTTCAGTTTTCAGTTCATGCGTCCATCTCTTTAGCATATTCAAAACTGAATTCTTGGTAACCTCCTTCTCAAGTCCACCGTTCCTGTCTTCTCTTAGAAAGTGACCTCATTGTAGTCAGATGCCATATTTGTCTGTGTGTTCCTCTTACTCCTGGCTTCCAGTTCATTACTCTGAATTCTATTGCCAGAATATTTCTCAGGTTTATTTGCTTCTGTCTTTATTGCTAATATCTTAGCCAGAGCCACTATTGTCTTCTAAACATTTGTAGTTTTTTTCTGGGCTCCTTGGTCCCATTTCTGCTACCTTCCAACTCTCCACACGATTTAATAAGTATAAACTGAGCCATGGTCAAATATTCTTCAGGTTTCCATTGGCCTCAAACTATAAAATTCCTAATGTGGTCTAAAAGGTTTTATTAGAAGTGGCCCCTGAATGTGTGTGTGTGTGTGTGTGTGTGTGTGTGTGTGTGTGCATGCACATACACATTTATACACATGCACGTATGTATATATGTAAACTTGGTAATTGTTTTTCATGAGGACATGGATAAATACTCTAAGGAATATAGAAAAATCCCTGTACTTCATTTTTAGGATGGCATTGCTGCTATATTCTCTAAGGAAAATTATCTAGATGTTCAGAAGCTGAACCCTTTACTGAAATATTTTTTTATCATGATAGACAAATGAGAAGTCTTTAGTATCAATCTATTGAAAAAGGATATGTGTTTATTTCTTTTAAATTCTCATCCACAGTGTTGAGGAGGACTGTTCAGACTCGTCCTGCCCCACGAATTCCTCCAACTGTAGAAATGATTGAGAAAGAACAGAACTGGGAAAAGAAGACGTTGCCTGTTGATGCAGACATTCACAGTTCAAGTGAAGAGAGTCGTCTCTTTACTCAGAGGTGGAGAGTATCTCATATGGGAGAAGATTTGGAGAACAAAACTCAAGCTCCATTCATTAACCTCTCACAGCAGCTCTGCAGTTCCCATTCCAACTCTCAGCAGAAGAGAAACCACACGTTCTCTGATGAGCCCCCAGTACTGGGAGATGGACAACAACTTAGAACAAATGAGGCAGTAATGCAAAGAAAAGACATAGCAGCCCGAATTGCTGAATTGACATTGCAGAATTCAGCCATCAAGGCACATCTGAATAATATCACTGGACCAGGGGGCGAGCAAGGGGATGGACTCCGGGGTTTGAACAAACAGGAAAGTGCTGGCGAAATGACTGCTGTGAGTACCCAGTAAGGATTGACTAGAAACATACAGAAACTTAAATAGGAATTTGAGCTTGGGTCTCTTAAGAGGTTTCCTTTCATAACTGGTCAGGATAGCTTAGAGGCTGTCACCAGATGGCTTATGCTTTGACATATCACTATCACAAAACAGGTAGAAACTATTTAGCCATTGCATTTCAGATGCAATAAAAGACAACATAAAAAATAAGACTGCATGAGTGAGGTGAATTGGACAAGAGTAAAATGTGTAGGAAAGTAAAGATTAAGCTTTAGGGATAAAATATATAAATATAATACAACTTTGAAAGTTTGTCAAGCCACATTTTAACTTGACATTGGAGGTTGGGAATTGATTTCATACTTTGTGCTGATCCTACGTGTGATGGAAGGCACTACCTTTTACCTGATCTTGTAACAAGGAGGCTCATTTCAGGGCTTTGCTGGGACAGGCTGATACTTTAGCAGTGGGAAGGAGGAGCTGGGTGGCCCCACTGTGGGTTTGTGGCTTCCAACATGGCTGCGTTCGTAAGGGCTTTATCACCAGGGCATTGAATGCTTAGGAGGAAACTTAGAGAGTGTTAGGGACTGAGCCCATCTCCATCTGTACTGGTTTGTGAGTAATAACCAGAACAGGAAGTCACAGACATAGAAATCAGAAGGAACTGACATAAGAGGAGCCCAAAAGGGAGTATTAGGATTAGGCAGCCGCCACAGGAACAGATGTAAGTATCAATTGTCTTAATGTTGAGTGACTGAGGGACATTTATAGGTTTACAGAGTTTTGAAGGTTATTTCTAACAGGCAACTTTTTTTTTTCCTTAAGATTTATTTACTTTTATTTGAAAGACAGATTTACAAAGAGCCAGACAGACAGAGAGACATTTTCCATCTGCTAGCTCACTCCCCAAATGGTTGCAACAGCTGGAGCTGGGCTAGTTTTAAGCCAGGAGCTTGGTGCTTCTTCCAGCCCAGGAACTGGGCTGTTCTTCATTGCTTTTCCAGACTCATTAGGAGGGAGCCGGATTGAAAGTGGAACAGCCAGAAATCAAAATGGCACTCATATGGGATCTAGCACTGCAAGGAGAAGTGCAGCTTACTGCATGACAGTACTACCCATTGTAACAGACAACTTTTGAATTTAAAAAAAGTGAGAGAACTGGCTAATCCTTTGCCTGCAAGTGTCAGTATCTCTTATTGGCACTGATTCTTGTCATGGCTGTTCTATTTCCAATCCAGCTCCTGGTTATGTTCTGGGAAAGCAGTGGAGGACTACTCACAGCCTTGAGACTGAACCTGTATAGGAGACCCAGAAGAGGCACTTTGCTTCTGGCTTCAGCTTGGCTGTTGTACCCATTTTGGGAGTGAACCAGCAGATGGAGCATCTTTCTCTGTCTATCCTCTCTGTAAATCTGCCTTTCTAGTCAAAGTAAATGTCTTTGTTTTTGTAAACAAAAGTTAGATATTGAGTTTTCCTCCTTTTCCAATTTGTATATAGATCACACCATAATGGATTATCTAATACTCTTGGCCAAACCATTCTTTTTCTTTTTTTTTAGATTGGAAATACAAAGTGATCATTAATTTGTATCGTATTACTTATCTTTTATTTTTAACTGATGGGCATAATCTACAACTTAATGATTTTTACTAGGAATTGTTTGTTTCCCCCCAAAGGGATAGACATATTTAACTAAATGAAAGAATTAGGAATAATATAATTATATTTCTGTTTGGAATTTTCAAGTTACACTTTGTGACTTTTTTTTAAACTCTGTTCCTTTCCAATCACTGCTTCCTATTGAATCTGTTATTTTAGGCCATAATTAGAAACAATGACAAGGTTCTCAGAATCAAATAACTCAAAGTGAATGAGGATTATAATTGTAGGAGCATCTTTCTGAAATATGGAAGATCCTCTATTGTAACCTGTACAGCCCCGTGTTTGTCATCAGCAGGTGTATGGCATTCAGAATTTTACTTACAGATCAATTCACCAGGTATAGTTTGTTTACTGATTTGTGTGTAGCTCAGGAAACACCAAGAAATGCAGAAGAAAAATTTCACAACAGGCCCACAGAAAAGAACTAGGGATAAATATACCATCAAGTGTAGAAGGACTAGTATCCTTGTCATAATCCCAATTTTTAATCAAATGATTTGGAAATCCTGTTTTTTTCCATTCATGTTTATGTAGAGCAAGGGATGTGAATACTAAATTGCTAGCAATTGGTAGAGAAATCAGATTTGTATAGTTTTTTTTTTAATCAATATTGAATTTGTGCTGTTTTTCTCCCTCTCAAAGTCTTTTCCAGCAGCGCAATCTCTGACACCAAGCAGCATGGAGGAACGGATTGCTGAATTGAATCGACAGAGTATAGAGGCTCGTGGAAAACTCCTGCAGTTGATAGAGCAACAGAAGCTTGTTGGTTTGAGTCTTTCCTCTCCACCAGGATCACCAGTTCAGTCACCTCTCAGAACATGGAATGGTTGGTCCCAAATTTGTGGCCTAAAAGTAGAAATGTAGGGGCGAATGCTTAGGGCTTAAGATGCAATGCCCCATATTGGAGTACCTGGGTTTGCTGAGTGTCTCCTGACTCTGGCTCCCTGTTGAGGTAGACTCTGGAAAGCAGTGATATTGGCCAATCACATTGGACCCCTGGATTGAGTGCCTACTTCCAACTTCATCCTGGCCCAGTGGAGACCTCTGGAAAAACAACAGCAAAATAGACCTAGAAATGCAAAAGTTTGTACTTTCTTGATTTGCTGATTCATATTTAGTTAAAAGAATACTAGAGCCTTTGATTTTACGCAAAAAGAAATATACTTGTGTTACAGAATAAGTGACAGAAATATAACTGGAAATCAGATCTGATTCTGTTTTGTACCTAGTCAGTCTTCGGTGTTTGAGTTCTTAAGTTGCTCTCAATCTAAATGGCATTCATTTCAATGTATGACCCACACGGGTATGTGCTACAATTAATATATAAAGCATAAATATAAAAATGCTTAATTTAAATTTTGTTAGGAACAAATGGTGAGTTGTTACTATATGAAAGTCATTAAAACAGTCATTAATTAGGGCCCGGCATGATAGTGTAGTGGTGAAAGTCCTCACCTTGCATGCCTGGGATTCCATATGGATGCCAGCGGCCCTGCTTCCTATCTAGCTCCCTGCTTGTGGCCTGGGAAATCAGTTGAGGACAGCCCAACATCTTGGGACTCTGCACCCATGTGAGAGACCAGGAAGAGGTCACAGGCTCCTGACTGCAGATTGGCTCAGTTCCAGCCGTTGTGGTCACTTGGGGAGTGAATGATCGGATGGAAGATCTTCCTCTCTGTTCCAATAAATAAAAATAAATCTTTTTAAAAAAATTATTAATTAAACTTTCATTCCTTTTTTGCTTTATGTTTTAAGATTTGCTCACTTACTTGGAAGGCGGGGTCACAGAGAGGGAGAGACAGATCTTCCATCCCCTGCCTTACTTCCCAGATGACTGTAACAGCCAGAGCTGGGCCACCCTGAAGCAAGGAGCCAGGGGCTTTCTCCAGGTCTCCTAAGTGGACACAGAGACTTGAGCACTTGAGTCATCTTGCATTGCCCTCCTGGGCGCACTATCATGCTACCTAGGAGGTGGATTGGAAATTGAATGGCTGGGACACAAATTGGTGCCCATATGGGATGCTGGCACTGCAGGCATTGACTTTACTTGACATGCCGCAGTGCTTACCTCTGAAAGTTTTAGTCTGTAGTTACATTTAGAAACAGAAAAAGCTAGAAAGGATTCTCAAAGTATTCTAAATAATGGGATAGTAACAGAAATTTGTTACAATATTCACATGAGACATCTTTTTGAAGTTAGACCCAGGAGCAGAATCTTCAGGAAATTTCTGGAAAATGGTGGATAATACATTTCATCGAGTGACTTCCTCTGTTTATTCTAAGCTTTCTCAAAAGACAACTTTATTTTCTGTTCTTCGTAGTCACAAAATCTAAAGAAAACTTCTAGTTAGAATAAACAAACCACTCACATGAAAAAACACCTATTGTGTAAAATCTTTAAAATGCCAGAATTCTAGCTGGGGAGCAGGCAGCAAACAAACATGTGAGATAATATCAGATGGTGTGAAGTACAACGAAGAAACGTAGAACAGATCACTCCTTCAGAATAATTTTGTGATTAAGTGTGACCTCTTGGGCGGGTGTTTGGTGTGGTGGTTAAGATGCTGCCTGTGACATCTGCATCCCATGTTGGAGCATCACGGTTGGAGTTTCAGCTGTGTTTCCAGTTCCATCCTCCTGTTGATGTATATCCTGATATATGTATATCCTGATGGCTCAACTAGTTGGGTCTGCTACTTGAGTAAAAGACTGAGTGGACTTCCTAATGGCTAGCTTGCACTTGACCCAGCAGCAGGCATTTGAAGAGTAGGCTAATAGATGGGAGCCCTATTTCTTTATCTTACAAAAATAAAGAAATAAAATAGAATAAAAATGTATCTTCTCCCATCAGTAGTTCTGTAAAGTTAAAAAGTATGTTTATGTGTATCTGTGAGCTCATGTAGAATTCAACACCCAGAGTAGGCAGGGCTGATACTATACTTCTATGATGAACAAACTGACTCAGGTATAAATAAATTAGTGATTTGTCTGAAATACAAAGTGGATTGTGGATTGGCAACTCTGTTCTTTCTAATCCAGTAGTTATATCTCTAATTCTCTCTGTAAATACAGATTCCTAATTGTCCATAGGAATCTTTGTAGGTTATAAAGATAAAAATAATTTATGTGCCATAGAAACAAAGTTCCAGAGTAATTAAATAATTTAGTTTGTAAAATTAAATATAAGGTCCTGTTACCCCCTGTAGCTTAGAAATCACTGGTTGTAAGTAGCAGTGACTCATAGACACGGACCTCTCTGAAACTGAGCTAGACACAAAGTCTTGTCACTAGCAAGTACTCAGTAAACATTTGTTGATTAATGTCCTACATCTGAAATATTGGAAAATATATTTGATTTACACTTTCAATTGGCCATATGAGCTCTTTAGCCAATATGAAATTTGACTGCATATCAGAAAATTTCTTTCTTTTTTATTTGTCTTTTTGAAAAACAGTAGATAGGCTGGTTTTGATAAAGAGACTGTCTTCTTTGGGCTTGCTCTTAGTATGTTTTTCACTTCCAAATCTGATATGATACTGCTTCCCTGAGGATGTTGGCACTGAATTTTATTGGCTTGCTACCAATATGACACTACCAATTAAAATGTTTGGTCTCCTAGTTCACATTTTAAAATATTTTTGTTTCTTTTTTTTTTTTAAGATTTATTTATTCTTATTACAAAGTCAGATATACAAAGAGGAGGAGAGACAGAGAGGAAGATCCTCCATCTGATGAGCACAACGGCCTATGTTTTAATGTTATTCATCTGAAAGACAGGAATTAGACTGATATCTGCTGATCCACTCCTCAAATAATTATGACAGCTAGGGCTAGGCCAGGCCAAAGTTGGGAACTAAGAACTCAGTCCAGGTCTCAGATGTGAGTGGCAGGGATCGAAGTAATTGAGCTATCTATCACCTGCTGCCTCTCCCAGGGTACATGTTAACAAGAAACTACAGTTAGGAGGGGAGCTAGACCTGAATCCTGGGCATCTGTATTAGAAGCAGGCATCTTAACCGTTTTGCCAAATGCCTACCCCAGTTCTTTTGTGTATGTGTGTTTTTATTGTTATTATTTTTCATGCTATGGTTTTGTACATATAGGGCTTCATCTTTCCACCCCCCCTTCCTCCCTCCCCATTCACTTCATCATTCCCCTCCCCATTTTCTCCATATTATTACAATAGTAGATAGTTCTTCAGCTAGAGCAATAAGTCCAACATTCTGTAATCCGAATGTATCATGGCATTGTAGGTATAGGCAATGGTGAAAAATCTAATATATTGTCAAGTTTAAATGGGAGTCCTCCTTTTATTCAGGAGTAGAGATGCATCCTGCAACATATCTTCACTTCCCAATCTGCTAGTTTTCATTATAAAGTTTGACAATGAGATTATGTATACACAAGTTTACCTGTACATCTGTTTGTTTTGTATTTTGCATGTAATGTTGCCTTATATCAGAGAGAACATGTGATTTATGTCCTTTTGGAACTGGCTTATTTCACAGAGCATAATGGTATCTGGTTTGGACCATTTTGTTGCAAAGGGTAGAATTTCACCCTTTTAAACAGCAGAATAGTATTCCATGAAATATATATACAACAGTTTTTTTGTCCGTTCCATATCCATTTGTTTTTTTATCCATTCCTCTTTCAACAGGCATCTGGACTGTTTCCATGTCTTTGCTTTTGTGGATTGTACTGCTATAGGGTTGCAGGTCACACACATCTGCAGATTTCACTTTCTTTGGATATATTCCTAGGAGTCTGAGAGTTGGGTTGTATGATAAATCCATACTCAGTTGTCTGAATACTCTCCATACGAACTCTCATAGTGAATGACTAGCCTTCACTCCCATCAACAGTGGAGTATTGTACCTTTTCCCCCACATCCGTGACAGCGGATGTCGTCAGTAGAGTTCTAATGTAAGCCATTCTCACTGGAGTTAGGTAGAACCTCAGTGTGGCTTTTATTTTACTTTCCTATTATCTATGGAGCCTGAGCATTTTTTTTTGTATGTATATTAGCCATTGAATTTGTTCTTTTGAAAAATGGCTGCTCATTTCCTTTGCTGGCATTTCTTCACAGGAATGCTTGCTGTTGTTGAATTTCTGAAGTGTAAATGCTAAATATTGTATAGTGTGTAAAGGTTATATCCCATTCTGTTGGATGCTTCTTTGCTTTGTTCGTTATTTTTTTTTTAATCTTTTTTTTTCTTTAAAATCTTCCAAGTGTATCTTGACGTCATAATGTTAAAATATGGAAAGAACCCACATATATGTAATGTGCAGTTTATAGTAAAATAGAAATGGAGCAAAATTTTAAATTTTTATCTTATTAAGAACTAATGAAAGTAATATTTATGTTGATACTTTTAGAAGGAACGAAGAGGACCATTGAGATATCTATTCCAGGAGCAGATGGCCCAGAAAGCTCGAAGTGCAGTACTGTCTCCCCTGTCACTGGCACCAATACTAGGAGGTAGAGTTACTGTGTGTCTGTCACAAAAGAAAAATCATGAATTGGGGTTGTGTTTTATTTTTTTTGTATATAAGCTGACTTAGATTCGAGCAGCCACTGTTGTAGAGAAAATAACAACCAGGAGGTTTTGAGGAAAAAAGAAAGAGTGGGGAATAAGGCTTAAACAAGGAGATTTATGAGTTGGCTCCAGAAACCACTGGACTAATATATAGATAACTTGTAGTTACAGAATCAGGAGGTAATATGTGATGAGATAAATAAATTGAGTGATAGCATTTTCTTCCTTTACAATAAGTGAAACTGAAGCTTAAAAAGCATGAATCATAGCTACATGGTAAGAGTAGCAATGTAGGTATCTTCCAGATATTATTTCTCCTGTCCTACTTTGAAATTCTTTCCTACTCCTACAAGTTCATTTTTTTGCTCTAGGGTTGAAAATTTATCTGCATTATGTTTAATGATAAATTGACATATCTATGATAATGTATTTGTCAGAATCCATAGACACCCCACAAAAGGCGAACCCAAACATTAACTCTGCACTTTAGTTAGTAATAATGCATCAATATTGGGTTATCAAGTGTAACAACATGGCACACTAATGTTAGTAATAGGAAACTGTACTTCAGAGATCAGGGGAAGGATACCTGGAAACTCTAGTTTCTCATCTTTTTGTAAGTCTAAAATTGTAAAACATACAGTCTTCATGTAAAAAAAAAATAGGTACAAGTTCTTGAAATGTGTTGCAAGTAATTTACCTCATTTCAACCTGAGTTAGCCATTCAGTTTTGAGAATTAGTTCGCATAATTTTTGGGTAATAATCTCGCTGACTTGCTCTTTCATTTCTCATAAACAGATCTTCAGGAGCTACTAGTAATGCTTGTTCTCCATTAAATGCCACTTCAGGAAGTGGACGATTCACACCTGTTAATCCAAGATCAAAGGTATGTGACAAAATGAATGTGTAGAGATCAGGACAGTGAGGGTAGAAGGTGGCTGATTATTGATTTCCGTTCCTAGTTATTATTCCATGTTGTTCTAAAGATGATTTAAAATTCTCAGAAGAAAATAAATATCAATTCACCATCACTTCTCCTAAGAGGCAGATAAGCCATATGTTTTGTTTGTTTGTTTTGGATTCATGTAGAGTTTCCTAGTAGGTGGCAGGACACACTGGTTGCCTTGATTGGGATGTATGTATGTGTACTGGTGCTGTAGAAATTCCCCACAGTCTCTGTGTACTCACTTGATGTGCAGCAGGCACTCACTGACACTGGGTAGTGGAGGAAAGTAGGGGTTTATTTTGCAGTGCACAGAACAAAGAGTCGGGCAGTTGCCACCCAATCCTGATCTCCCTGAAGGATTAAGGGTGGTGGATTCTACAGACTAAAGTTAGGTCTGAACCGAGTGGAATTAGCTCTTGTAATTTTCACAGAGAAGACAAAGGAACTGAAAGCTTAGGGGAGGGAAATTGATAAAGTCTACATCAAATGCGTTAAGAATAGGGACTCAGTTTCACTGAGATGTTAACTCAGCTAGTCCTTGCAATGATGAGGCTGAGCCTGGGAGAGCCAGAGGCCTGGATCTAGCCACTTGTCATGTTAGCGCAGTGTGGCTTATCTGAGTGTATCTTTGGCTCCACAGCCTGACACAAAGGATAAGTTAATGCGTTTACATAGGCTTCTTATTTTGATTTGCTGTAGAAGTGAGTAGAATTAAAGAATTAACAATGTATCAAATTTTTTTTACAAAATACTTTTCTTCTGTGTTGCTAATACAGCAAAAATAGTTCCCTTAAGTATTTGGCTATGGGAAATGTTCAAGATATCTTTAACGGATTTTTCAGAATTGAGCCAATGACTGTTGGGTGATATGGGAGAAACCAATAATTAGGCCAAAAAGTAGATCTTTTATAGCACTAGTTTGTTGATAGACATATACTCCAGTTACCTATCACTGGAAGGTTTTTTTTTTTTTTTGCTGTTTTTTAGTATTTAAAAAGCTTTAAAGTACGATATTTTACATAACTTACTTTTATTTCCTGGGATGCAGTAGCATTTAATTCACTGAAAAATAATTTATTTGGTTTATATAAGTCACTGGATTCATCCTTTGTAAAAATGTTGGGATTCTTAAAGGAATATGTTGACTAGATGTATCAGTTGCTTGGTAGTGTCTGTTAGAGAACAAACATGGTCAGTAGCATTTTAATTTCCATTCTTATTCAGTGACACAGGATGACATTGTTATATGCACTTGGTCTAAGTAAGCTGTAAGTCGTTTTTATATGCAGTTGATCTAAGTAAGCTGTAACCTGTTCCTGGTTACCTTCTAAATCCTTTCTGTATCTTTGTCCAACAGATTGAGAAACAAAATGAAGAAGGCTGGTTTGCTCTTTCCACGCATGTGTCATAAGAGTTTTACCAATGTGTTATAATTTTTCTTGACCTTCTACCCTCTCCCTGTTCTTGTGTTTTAAAGCGTTTACATTCTTTTAGATAAAACAAAGTACCTGTGAATTAATGCTGATGAAACAGACCCAAAAATGTGCAATTAATTTTTTTTTACCTTTATAGTAACCAAATAACATGTAATTCCTTGTGAATAAAAGTTTGACTGTAGGAAGATGAAAGTTATAATATGCTAATGATTTCTTAAGTATTTTAAAGTTTTTCTGTTGAGTAATGCATTTTTATCTTTATTCAAATTCTTTTTGTTTTTTTTGTCTAATGTATTTTAAGTGTTGATCTGCTTCATTTTTACCCTTGAAGAACTAAGTTGTTTTTGCACACAACTTGAAAGAGTAAGGCTTTCAGTTACTTCTGCTTTCTTCTTTGCTGAGGAGTAATTTCTTTTATTTTTTATTATTATTATCGTCTTATGATACAGATCCATAGGCCCTAAAATTTCCCCTACACAGTTCCCAAAACCTCTTCCCCACTGAGTTCCTCCGTATCATTACAACAGTATAGTTCCTCATAAACAGTCATAAGTCCATCATTGTGGGCATGGACAGTGGCAGAGTCCAGCATCCTATTGTCATGATACATTCAACAGTTTTACTGGGAGTCCAGTCCGGAAGCAGAAATGCACACTGCACCATATCCTCACATCTGGACATGAGTCTCCACAATATAGTCACTATAAATCCCCCCAAGTGAAAAGCCACAAAACAAAATCAACAGGGAAGAAAACAGAAATGTACAACATATGAAGTTAAACAACATGCCACTAGATATGATAGTCCCCACTACGCAGTGCTATATATCCCCTTACATTTTTAAAAGCCACAAAACAAAATCAACAGGAAAAACAAAAAGAAATTTTCAATGCCACGAAGTTAAATAACATGCTACTAAATGGCTAATGTATTGCTGAAGAAATGAAAAAGAAAATCAATAACCTTCTTGAAGAGAATGATGCTACTGTGTGATCTCTGAGTCAGTGAAGAATTTAATGAGAAAAAACAGTGTTTTGAAGAAATGAAACTTAAATCAAAAGCATCAAAATCCATGGGATGTAATTTCTGCTGATTTTTCTTGGTGAGATGTATCTCGTGTAGGCAACAGATGTTTTTGGTTTTGTTTTTAACCCAGTCTACTAATCTATGATATTTGATTGATGGTTTAAGCCATTTACCTTCAGCGTTAATCTAAATAGGTGATAATTTGGTCTTCTCATTTAACAATGGGTTGTTCATTTATTTAGTCTTCTGTTATTTTATTGGGATGTTCTTCACATTTGCCTTTAGTTTTGGTGGGTACTATTCCTTTTCTCTGTCAAAAGAACATTTTTATCATTTTTAGAGCAGGTTTGGAAGAGGCCTATTCCTTTGACTTTTTCTTTACTGTGAAAAATTTTTATTTCATTTTCAAAGACAAAAGAAAGCTCTGCTGGGTACTTTATTCTGGGCTAACAGTTTTTTCCTTTTAATCCTTTTATAATCTTTTTATAATCTTTTTATAATCCTTTTATAATCTATAATTCTCTTCTGGCCTGTAGAGTTTCCTGTGAGAGGTCAGCTGTGAATTTAATTGCCATTCCCCTATATGTCAGTTAATTTTTTTTCACGTGCACATTTAAGGATCTTTTCCTTATGTTTGATTAAAGAGCTTGATTATCATGTGTTGTGGTGAAGATTGCCTTTGGTCAAGCCTGTTGGGGGTTCTGTACCCCTCCTGAATGTTGTTTCCCAATTCTTTTTCCATATTAGGGAAATTTCCTTTTATTGTTTGATTAAATACATTTTTAAATGTTTCTCTGTTTAAACGAGTCCTTGCCCAGTTCCACCATTTTGATTCTCTGAGGAGTCATTTCTGCCATCATTTTTTTCTTTGTGTGGAATGCACAACTTGAAGAAATAGGCAAGGAAATATTTGTTCATATTTGCTTAAATATGTAAGAAAAGTATCTATTTTAAGGTTTTTTGTATTTTTTGGTTTTAAACATGAATGTGTCACCAATACACCATAATGCTGATGTACGTAGAATAAACAGTGAACGCAGAGCTTAGATGTCTAAATGCAGTAACTTCAATGTAAGGTAATTAATTCTAAGACTTGCTACCAGTTTTCCAAGGCTTTAAGAAGATTCACATAGAGTGGGAATTTATTCAAGGCTCCAATTTGGTTCTCAGACAATGATTTCTGTTGTCAACCTGGTTTTTGAATGATCACGGCTCCTTGGCTATATCATGGGAATTTTCAGTGTGAATAGAATCAGAGTCAGGTAGGATAACACATGGAAATTACCCAGAATACTTTTTCAGGGCAACACTTTTTTCCCCTTGTGAAAATCACTGCGCTGGTGAGTGCCCCACGCTTGTACTTTGTTGTCATTATGGAGGCAAAAATAAGATTAATTTGTTGTATGTGATGTTCCTATTTGCATTGTGACAGTCTCCTGTCTGGATTGCAGTTTTTGAAACTTGATATTTGATATATTTAGTAAGAATATTTTTTCCCACCTGGGATAGAAACTGGGATAGTTTTATATTTCATTAGCAAAATATCAAGTTAACTGTTTGGCTTGTCAATTATTATTTTTTCTAAATATACTTTTTAATAACAGTGCTTAATATAAAACCAAACAATGAGAATTATGACATTTTTCTGATTAACGTATAGATAGGAGAATCATATCTGTTTTTATCTAATTTTATATACATTTAGTTTTGCTTTGGTTGTACAGTGTCAAGACAATTTTGATTAATGCAAATAAGCAGTTACAAATGGTAATATCAGCCTTCCTGAAATTCTTTATAAAATCTTTAAATAAACAGAAAGAACAGAAGTATCTTTGCTCTAATATTTATGTGTCAAATAGTTAACTTGTATGGGGAGAATATGTGTTAAATGTGTACATTAGAGCAGCCTATCTTGATAAACTATTTGAAATCTTCAAGAAGTTAACAGGATTGTTTGATTTTAGTATTTGTGGAGTATGAAAAACTTGAACCTTATATGTGTACAGAATTTTTTATGAAAAAGTTTTTTAAATTTTATTTTTTTATCATATTTACATAGTTGATCAGGGTGGGAAGGGTGGAGGATCAGGGGAAAGTGAGCAAGACCATTGTACAGATTTTCTTTTTCTTCCTGTATCTGGGGGAGGGGAAGATACAATGGGAGAGACCACACCCAGTTCCCCCAGTACCTGATGTCACACCAAGGTCCCCATTGTGGAGCATGTTCTGAGGGTTCAGCTCATGTGATTTTGATAGTTCTGAGATGCTGTTGCTATGGCTGCTCCAAGGATGAGGAAATCCTTCCAAGGTCAATTAGCTAACATACTCCACCTCAGAGTCTCCATTTGCCCAGAAGTTTGCTGTTAAGTCTCATTGGGGTAGTTGATCAATTTGTTCTGCCCTCCTTCCTCTACAAAGCAATGGGTTCTGTGGCCAGCCCAACCCTGCCCACCACACACTCAGCCTTCATGTACACCAGGGGGAGCTGAAGCCCAGTTAAAGTAATCCTCACTGGAACTGCCGCCAGCTCTGGTTCCTGTGCCTGCCAACATGTGCAGTTGACTGGTCTGGTTTGCCCCACATCCCATTGAAATCTTGTATACATCATTGGGTACTGAAGCCTAACTCAACCCAACCAACCCCACCCTCTAGCCCACACTTGTGTCAGTGAGTGCCACCACCTATCCAGGCCAGGCCCACCCCAGTCCTGGTTCTCACACTTACCAGTGGGAGGTGCAGGCTGCCAGAGAAGTGTCCACAGCCACCCCAGTGGGCCCACTCCGTGTCCCAGATCTCCCATCCAAGTACTAACCAGGTCAGACCCTGCTTGGCCTCTGGGATCGGGCTCAATCACTGTGGTATGGCTGTAGACCGTGTCCCAGATCTTGTACACTCTAAATGGTTCTGCAGTCTAGCTCAATAGGAATTGCCCCCAGTTCCAGCAAGCTCCACTGCCTGGGACTCTGCCACCGGGACAAACCCACCCACTGGCTCCTAGCCTGAGCCTCCAGTCTGAGCCCAGCCACCTGGGAGCTGGCCCCCCTAGGGAGGCCGGCTCCTCTGGCTCCAAGCATCTAGCAGGGAGATGGGCTCAAGCCTTCAGTTAACCACTCATAAAGCTGTTTTGTTTTAAATCTGGTTCAGTGCCTGTGCTCACTCTGTAGGAAAAGTATAAAGTCTGTAACCAAACTCAGACTGGTAGAACAGCCAGCTCAAGCAAACTGATTGTTCCTATATTTAAATCTTCATTTTCACTAGCTAAATAGGCTTTAAACTTTGATTTTGTGACCAGACAAATCGTTTCAGTTGACAAGAAAAGAGCTTTTTCTTTCTTAGGACTTCTGAAGCAATAGTTCTTCATTTCAACTGCCATTAAAATCAGGTGAAGGTCTTTTAAAAATCTTCATGGCCAAACCATACCCCTGACCAAGTTAGGTTGGAATTTCTTAGAGCAAGCCACAGATACCCACATAAAAAGCCAGTTGTAATGATTCTAGTGTGCATCCAAGCTTGGTAAACATATACTTGTCACCACCAAATAATAACTTATTGCACATTTGATTTTAATTAAGTTAAATTACCATGGGGCCTCTTACTGAATTGACAATATTCTATTTAACATATGTAGCATGTTTTGAAGTGTGTATGAATTGTAGAATGACTAAATCTAGCCAATTAGCATGTTTTCCCTCACATAGTTAAACCATTTTCCTGGGTAGAGCACTTCACACTTACTGTCTTAGTATTTTTCAAGAATGCAATGTAGTATTATAGGCACCCTGTTGTATGCAGTACTATAGATTTCTTGAACTTATTCCTCCTGTCTGAAATTGGTGTCCTTTTTAATCTTTTTTAAAAAAACATTGATTACATTGCATTATGTAACACAGTTTTATAGGCACTGGGATTCCCCCGACCCCTCCCCAGACCCTCCCTCCATGGTGGACTCCTCCACCCTTTTGCATTACCACAGTTCAAATTCAGTTTAGATTCTTTCATTGCAAGCATTTACCAAGCATAAAGTCCAGCATCTTATTGTCCAGATAAGTTCAACGGTTTCTTGGGGAGACTATCTCTGATCTGAAAATAGAGCCGGCAGAGTATCATCCCAATCAATTAAAAGCCCCAACATAGCATCAGTAACAATTTATAATGCTATGGAATTAATTGACATGGTATTGAGTAACCAATATGTTAAAAGAAAAAAAAAAAGAATGCAAGTTCTGAACCACATCCTGTGACTTCATTGACGTTTCAATTATTAGTTTATATACAACTGGTTTCTATACACCTTAAAATGGCTACAATTACTGTTCAGCTGTCTCGTGTCTATTTTAATTTTAGTATTTA